GGCAGCGTGGAACGCTTCCGCTGCTGTTTCACATCTGAGACGCTTCCTGTGGGAAGGTAGCTCGTGGGTGTAACGAATCCATTACGTTACATGTCGCCTACACATCCTGTGGAAAGGCTGGGTTACTCTAAAATTTATATTAAACTATTTTAATTGAACAAACCTGCCAAAATAAATCCAACGTGTAGATTCTGTTTGCTGCTTAAATTAATGTTCCAGTCTATTGTTCTTGTATGGATTTAGTGTGGGAGACGTGATGCGATGAGCCCCACATGCATCTACAACCAGCTGGGCCCACATAAACCCTTTACTGTCTTTTTTAATGTTTCCTGTTGTCTGCTCTATTTGGCAGAGCTCTCACTCATTCTCATTCTTTTTTCGACTGTCTCTTTAGTGAGGGTTTTCTTACTCGTTGTCCTTTTCTTCCATCATCATTTTGCCTTCTTCAATCTCTCTTAGATGTCCTCCTTTGTTGTTTCAGAAAGACGTGTTTTTACAGCTGTTCAGTAGGATGTTGTGGACAGTCGGACGGATCCAGACCCAAATCGTTCTGGTTTGGCTCCCTGTTGAGGCGTAGAGAGAAACATATGTAAGCCTAACCACTCTGTGAGTTTAACAGGACATTGGTGACCATCGCTGCAAGGCAGAGGAAGAGAATCGACCCAAAGAATGGCGCATCTGTAAACTTTGTGTTCGTTTTGTGTGTCAAGGCTTCATCTTCACATGCATTGTGTGAAGAGTGGGAAATGTAAATCCACTGCCTTTGCAGGGGCAGAAACACACACTCAAGTGTGTGTTTTTGCATCTAGGATTTATGCATTTGAGGCGCAGGACCGGAAGGCTTCGTTGCAGCGACAGTAGAAGTCGGTATCAGAAGTGTGACAAAGACTCGTTCTCAGCCAGTACTGAGATGCTGCCGTTCTTGTCCACAGCAGACAGACTCACCATGAGACACAACAGAAAAACCACATTGATGTCAGTTTGCTGTCTGCCTGAGGAATCAGAGCGAGTGTCAGTCAGACAAGCAAAGTAGCCTATAGTACGTCAACGTATGAGATGTTTCTTAGACAACGCTGGCTCTTTGGTGCTGAGTTTAAGTCTAGATTTTTTTTTCTTTTCTATTAGTATTCTGATTCAGTGGCTAGTGCTTGTCAGTGTCTTGGATTTATCTAAGTCTGCAACTGCATTAGTGTGTGTACAACTGAAAGTGAACGGCTGCTGTTGACAGTCTTTGGTTGTTAAGCTGCTGTAGTGCCATTGTATTTGAGTCCGTCACTTTCAGATGAGAACATGTCCCCCCCACCCCCCCCCCACCCCCCACCACCCCCACCCCGTTAGAAGAGCTCACCGCTTTTGCATCTGCAGTGATTCACATCAAGTGAGGATCAATTCCTGCTGGGAAATGGGCAGAACTTCTTCGATGATCATTTCAAAGATAATCTTTTAGGGAAGAAATGCGCTACGATTTATTTTCTGTTTTACTAAAGCAGTAATTATCAAAAGACAAAAGGAGTCATATGATGAGCAATGTTTTGGTAAATTATAGTTTATTTTATTTATTTATTTATTTATTTAGCTTTTATTTAACCAGATGAGTCGTCTGATTTACTGCGACGATCTGGCCGAGAGGCAGCAGCAACAGACACATAGTTAGCTTTACACCAAAGAAAAACAGATGAGATGAAAACAAACAAGATAAAAATGAGATAAAACTGTTAGACATAAAGACAAAGGACTGTTCTAATATATAATATGTACAAGCAATCAAAACAGACTTAAAGGTTTAATATGGAACACGGACACTATAGTGAAACCTAGTGTTTAGAGGTGGTAGTGCAACAACAGAACACATTTCCCAGCCGTCAGGTGTTGGTTCACTGCTGATACGTGAAGTGACCAGCCAGCACTATGCCCAGTGATGCACCGGGTAAGGAATAATTTCTACTAATACGCTTATTTTACAACAGTATTAACCATTAGAACGTCTACTGGACTCAGAACCCTAACCATTGTTCCAGCCTCTTGCCAAGCAGACCTTTTATTGCAACTGTGCCTCCTATTGGTTGGTACATGTAAGCACAAACCTAGTGTCATGCCTGTCAAAATAAAAATTTGATCATTTATTTATTTAAATATAGCTTTTATAGGATAAACGGTACATTAATTCTTCACACCTCTAAACACACCGGGAGGTATTATTTATTAAAATATAGCTTTTTTTATTAAAATGTTCCATATTCTAACAATTAAAAAAAAAAACTCAGAAGCAGGCACATTGACCAGAAACTATTGATTGCAATGAATTAGTGAAGGTAGATAATAGAATGTACTGTAGGTAGTGAGCTTCAATGATTTTTGCAGCTCAGTCCAGTCGTTGGAAGCAGCAAACTGGAATGAGGAGCGGCTAAAGGAGGTGCGAGTTTTGAGAATAACCATAGAGATTAAGTTACGGGAATGTAAATTGCGCTGGTTGTTTAAGTGATGAGTAATGAGCAAAGATACAATGGTGTTCTTCTGATTGTTTTGTATATAAATTGATATCAGTGTAACATCCTGTCGGAATGGAGTGATGGCCAGTTAACGAGTGAGTACAGATCAAAGTGTGCTGTCAAGCCAGATTCCCAAATACTTCTAAGAACTGACAAATTGTAGTTCTGTACCATCCAGGGAACAATACTAGGGTGGAAAGCTGATTGCGGTAAGTTACGTTTGACGATCATGAACTTTGTTTTACTTGTGTTTAAATGAAGATAAAAGCTGGAGAAGGCATGTTGAAGACAAAGCTGCATTTAAAGAACTGTATGAATAAAAAAAAAGGTTGTTGTCTGCATATAAATGTTTATGAGAACTGTCAACAGCATGACCAATGTTATTGATATAGATTATGAATAAGGCTGGGCCCAGTATCGACCCTTGAGGAGTGCCCATAGATAGAGGTAGAGGAGCAGATTGGTAATGCTCTGTTCTCACTGTTTACGTACGGCCTAAGATATAACTTGCCATGCCATGCCATGCATGCCTGAGAAAGCCCTACATGTTTGAGCCTGCTAAGTAAGATGTTATGATTAAAGGCTTTAGCCAAGTCAACAAACACAGCCACACAATATTCCTTATTGTCAATGGCCAGTAATAGTTTAGCCCAGACGTATTCATTGCTTGTTCACCGTTTTATGCGGTTGAATGTTACTGGGTTGAAGATTGTAGCTAAAAGCAGTCATAAGTTAACGTTAGCTAGCATACGGACCAGCATATAGGAAGGAGAAACAAGGAATTAATCTATTTTTCTGAAGTAATAATTAGAGGTAAAAAATAAACAATCATAAATATCCTTAATGCAAATAACAGTGTTGAAAGGTTGAGCTTGACGATGTCAGTATGATGATCAAAACAACAACTTCACTGTACGAGCTGGAAAATAATTAATGTCACTTCCTGGCTGCAGAGAAGGTTTGACTGAATGGTACTTTAAAAAAGGGGAGATATTAGCATGCTGTTATGGGGTGAACAAAACTGAGGGATGTGATTATATTGGACAAATTTATAGATAAGTTATTTATTTTATTTATTATATTGGCAGAAAATTATTCTTGTCACTGTTTATTTATATTGACATTATATTCATTGAAAAAGCAATGGGGACATGCTCATTTGTCTGACCTTTACTCTTCAGCAACTCATAAAACTTTTAAAAACATATTTTTAAACATATGCTTATGTGTCATAATGCAAAGGAACATAATTACTTCATATGAAAAATCTTGAGGTAAATCTGTGGGATGCAAAATGCACCGAAATCAGAAAATCACTCAGACTGAGATTGAGCTATTTTTCTTTTTTGTTATTACAGTTTTCACCACTAGTCTCCATGAAGGCAATTAAACTTGCTGCAACTAAACTCACATGTGGTTTAACTCAGTACCACCACCAACATCCATGTTGAAAACACTGGATGTACGACGTCACTACTCTTTCAAATCAGCAACTACGGCCTTTCATTCTTCCTTTGAACTTTGACCCATTTGTTCTTAGTGAATTTGAAAGCAGCAGTTTTCTCGCCACAGGTTTAACTTTTATTAAAAAATTCTTTTAGGCCTAAAGTCTGGATTTATTCATTTTACTACAGGCTTTGACTCATTTGGGGCGGTTGACATGGTACAGCAACGTTGTCCAGGTTTAAGTTGTTTAAGTGCTGATTTTGGTGCCTTTATTTTGGACAGTGACGCCAGCATGGAGCAGATCTATAATTTCCTGGTTTTTCAATTGTTTCGTACCATCAAAACCAATTTCCAATGGGGTAGTTGTGGCAGCGTGTGCTGATTTTGGACTTTTCTGGGGGTAATCGGCTGTCCAAAGAGAAGAAAACAACCACAATGCCTCATTTTGGCATCAAAGTAAGGTTTATGTGAAGTTTTGAGTGGAGTTAGACCATTGCAAAAGCTGGAAGTGTTTTGATACTGTAGGAAGTAAAACTTAAGAATACTGAAAGGTTTCTAGTGTATTTTTTAGTTCCTCCTTTCTGTTAATCTGTCATCTTGCAATGTTAAGATGACTGTTGTCTCTCCAAGCTTTCCCATGAGCCTTTTCCCTGTTTGTTTGTGTGATCCCTTCCCTCAGGCCACGTTACGCATCTGTGAAAGTGTGTGTGCATGCGTGTGTGTCTAAAAATGTATTTATTTTTGTTTTGTGTCTATGAGTGAGGGTATTTGAAGCTCCGAATAGTGTACTTGCCTTGTTTTTGTAGATGCATGTGTGTGGACGTGTGTGTGTGTTGTAATCAGTGTAATCCCTTCCTTGAGGCCAGTGTTCCACACAGCTGGACCGGAGCCTCTGGAGGGTCTCTGTGCTATTCAAGCATCCTTTACTCTTTCCACCTGACCGAGTGGTGTGTGTGTGTGTGTGTGTGTGTGTGTGTGTGTGTGTGTGTGTGTGTGTGTGTGTGTGTGTGTGTGTGTGTGTGTGTGTGTGTGCGTGTGTGTGTGTGTGTGTGTGTGTTTTAACAGGTGCAGTACAGAGAGCTGAAACTGGATCCCAATCCCAGTCCAAATAAAAGGAAGAAAAACAACCCCGGGTAGATCCACTACATCCACCCACGGATTCCTTTCTTCTTCTTCTTCTTCTTCTTCTTCTCTTTTTTATTTTCCTGACTATCCAATGTTGGACACCGAAGACCAGACTGAACTCAACCTCTTGTTTTTATTTCGTAAATTAGTCTCTTAAACTTCATTTTTGGTTTGAACGTTTTTTTAAGTGTAATTTTTAAAGGAGAAAATGATTATAGAATCATCTCCTCTACAGTCGTGTTTTTGATGTACTTTTCAGCGTCCCTCCTAACTGTTTCTCTTCACTCTGACAGCTAAAAAACGAGGACCCCTCTGATTGCCACAACTGTCACACAAGTTAAATTAGACTCTTTTTTTTAAACTTTTTCAAAACATGTTTTTCCATATTTCTAGAAACACAAGCCTTAAATTTACATTCTGTACAACATGTTAGCATTTATTCAACATGTACGAAACTTAGGAAACAATTTTAGTAAAATCTTTATATATTTTTTAGTTGTTTATGCACTGGAGAGTCTTCTGTTGTCATCCCCTCTTAATATGTTAATAATGTTATGTTCGCTGGCAGTAACTTGGATTATCTCCACTTAACTTTGCTAGCCAAGTTGATTAGCAATTAGCCTCCAGGAATTAAATATGGGCTTGTTATGGTTTCAATGCAGGGGCCAAAGACACTTCCACCTGTAAGAACTCTAGATATTTCTTTGTAATGTTTGAAAACCATGCTGGGGCTCTCAGTGAGTCAAACACGCACCTTTCTTGGATCATGAGCTGCAGCTTGGTTTATATAGATGCCCTCCATTCTATGCAGAGTGCAACCAGGCAGGTGGGCAGGCCTTTAGGTAGCCACAGCCCTAATCTTGTTAGAAAGGCTGATCTCTTTCCTTCTTATCTTTGCCTTTGCCTTTGCCACACACACACACACACACACACACACACACACACACACACACACACACACACACACACACACACACACACACACACACACACACACTTGTGCACATGCATGCATGCAGAAACAAAGAGCTCCACCATCCTCTCATGAGGTCCCATCCACTAAATCTTGCGCACGGTGTAACTACTTGCTCACAGATGAAAAGCAGAGTGCCGTATTTGAGCAGGAACACACTCTCCCTGTCAGTCATGCTCACACACACATGCACAAACGCAGACATGCTCTCTGTGATGCTGCGCCCCAGGCTGGCCGCCCTTCTCCATCTGCCCCACCTCCTGTGCCCACAGCTCAGCTTTGATCAGCCTTTCCAGAGACAGAGGCTTGCATGTGTGAGCCGAGTATTTACAGAGTGAGTGTTTGCATACACACATTTACGCAATCAAAGACGCAAAGCTGTGTGTTACAGTAACATCTCCCCTCCAGCTCTAGACTGATGCTTCGGTTCAGTCAGAGAAAGTGTGTGTGTGTGTGTGTGTGTGTGTGTGTGTGTGTGTAGCAGCACAAGCACCAGCTGTTTTTTGCTGTTGAGCTTGCTGAGATGCTAAATGAGCAGCAAGTCATAGTGTGACAAGACGAGGCTCCGAGGGGACTCGGGCCTGAGATGTCAGGGATGGGGGAGTGCTCGTTTGTGTGTGTGTTCTTTATGCTTCTTCAGAAGCAACTTCCCATCATGCTTTTCCCCGTTTGCTCTCTCTGCGACTCCCTCATTCGTCAGCGAGCGGGGTTGCGACCCTGTCTGAGGGAACGGTCTCCTGGGCTGCTTGCCGAGCCTCCCTTGAAAGATCACAGCACAGCCGATGTTTGAGGAGGTCTCCTCTCATCCTATTGATCCCTGCCTCTTCTTCTGGTTCCCTCTCCTCTCCTTGTTAACGCTGTAAACCCCTGTTCTCTGCAGCTAGGGCTCCTCTCTGCCACTTAGTCACTCTCTCACCACATCCGTCCGTCTCAGTGCCATTTTCTTGACCCCCCTCCTGCTCCTTTCCTCATCCATTGATCCTAAAACTCTGATATCATGCCCGTATCTGCAACTTCTCTGGGTAGATTATTCACCTTAACGACGCCTGAGGAGACAGAAACTCTGACGTCTGTTTATTCTGTGTTGACATTTTGCTTCAATTTGTGGTGAAGGTTGTGTGGCACAGCATCTAAATATTGTCTATTTTATGTTATTTATTTTGTTTAGGCTGTTTTATTTTTTATTTTAAAGCAAACCAAAGTGTGACTTTGTATAATGTAGAGGAAATATAAAGAAGAATGTATCAGAAAGTTAAAAAAAGCACTTTTATTTGCAACGAGTTGTAATGAGATTTTATTTTTTAAAGAACATTGTAAAACGAAAAGCTGAATACTGATTAATTTATTGTATTTTATACGGTATGCCTGTTGGTAATCGGTGATGGATTTTGTTGTTAAGTAGGTGTATGCCTGCCCTTATTTTCGAAATGATATCTTCTTCGCTTGCGATGGTTTCTGCCTGTCATTTTATTTATTTTTGTGCTCGACCAACATTGTTTCCTGAGTTTGTGTGAGGAAGCGTGCGGAATGCGTTGCATAAATTTAATATAATGAGTAGCATCTGATGTATGTGGCTTATTTTGGGGATCAAAAACAAAACCATAAAAAAATAGATTAAATATTTTTTTGAAAATTTGCAGTGTGGATTACTGAAGCAAACACCACCAAATATGCTAGCATTTCACATTTTAGTCAACCCTTATTGGTTTAACTGTGTGTCACTTTTCATTTTGGTGGAAGAACAAAAAGAATATCCTGAAAGTAGAATGTGGGAATTTGAGAGTTCAGGTCTTCAGAGTTATAAAACTGGATGATGGGAATTAGATTTTTTATAAATGTTTGTTCCAACAATTAGCTCAGCCCTTCTCCTTTATGGGAACTGATCTGAGCTCTGACAATCTAAATACCTAATTACCAATAAACAGAGATGAGAGCAGCCTGCTTTCACGAAGCAGTTTTCTCTTATTGTGATGCAGAAATAGCATTTAGCAGCAATGATGTGGGTCGGATTGAAGTCTGGGTGATCAAAATCTTTGGTGGCGACCAGGGGTGGACTGGCCTATCTGGCATTCTGGCACAGTCCCGGTGGGCCGCTTAGCCAAGTGGGCTGCTTGCCCAGCTTGGGCCGACACGACTCCACAGTTGGTGATCCACAGAGCATTAGCTACATGGTAACCCGAAACTAACAGCGTTTTTCCGGGCGTTTTTAGCAAAGCAGAGTGATGACGTAGGAGTTGTTTTACCACGTTAGCATGTAGCTAACGTCCCGCTGATCTCCGCCCATGGAGAATGAGCTGATCTGGAAGGCCAGGGCTCCCGGTCGCAGTGGTCTGGCCCTGCTTGTAATTTAACAATCCCAGTCCGTATTAGAGCTCCCATTCGGCCTAGAGACGAGTCCGTGGGCGGCAACACACCCCACCCCCACCACTTTCCCAATGGGGAAGGCCGACTGAGGGCCGACGAGTCGTAAAAATGCCAGGGCCGAATTTTGGTCCCAGTCCACCCCTGGTGGCGACTGACATTAAAACCCCAGTTTGACTCTAAAAGAAAGCAGCAACAATATGAACATGATGGCCTTGAGAAATACGAGAAAAAACGTGATTGAAGCCCAAAACATCCAAAAGAATTTAACAAAAAAGCTTTTCGGGGGTTTGCAGAATTTCATGAAAAGTTTTTACCTGTTAAGCACGGGAGTGGACTGATCATGGTTTGCAATGCAGCTAGTTCAAACTGGGACTTTTATTGAGTGAAAGTTAGCTACATAAGTTAGAAATAAAAATGATGCTTCTTGTTTTGTCTTTAAACTGATGCATCTGCTCCTCAAGCATCAGGGGTGCCCGAACCTTTCTAAATAAAACTGATTCTTATCATTCTTACACAATTTAGGAAGTGAAAGCAGATTTATTTTTATTTATTTTGTGAATAAAAACATGTTTTCCTATTAAAAAAAGAGAAAAGCTACAGATAAGAAATAACTACGGTAGTTCAGTGTTCTTAAAAACAAGCTGCAGAGATTGATAAATAAATATACATTTCCATTTCAGAAACTTCTATTACATTTTTTTGGACATGATTGATCTCATTTCAGAACCAATGTTTAATTTGGTATTTCTGCAGAAAGGACTCTAAATCACAAGTTCCTGACATTAAGGGAAGGCTGAAGAAAAAGATCCAGCATGATGTAAATAACGGGTTGTGTAGTTCTGCTCCAGAACATTAATCCTGTCTCACAGATCAGCTACAAGCATTTCACCACGAGACCCTAGATTCTCCAGGATCTCCATCAGGAGCGTCGTGCTTTCCCCTTTACACTCTCTCACAGCCCGAGACACCTGCTCCTGGTGCTTTCCTTGGCTGAGCTCCAGCAGCATCTCTACATCTTCCACCAGCCTCACCGCTCGCTGATCCGTCCAGTCCAAAGTCACTTTTTGGAGCGGGTGAGTCTCTAAGGCTCTGACCAGCTTGTAGACCAGGCTGTTGGGCTTGTCTATCGGCTGCGAGAGGCCGGGCAGACCACGCTCCAGCTGGTAGGAGACGACAAGGTGGCACAGCAGACAGGACCCAGCCTCCAGGAGGGGAAGGTTCAACACCTCGGCCCCTTCGTGCCTCTGGGCCGAGTCTCCAACCTCCGCGCTGCTGAAGAGCTCCTCCTGCTGACCCAGCGTAGAGACCAGATCCATAGGACTCCGTCCCTTTTCATCAGTCTGCCTGAGAAGCACTGAGCCTGGTGAAGACAAAAGAGTTCTGAGATCGGATCAGAAGCTTTTCTGTTTTTCTAATCATAAACACATTCAACACAAATCAAAGCGGCTCCATATGCTACACGGATTTGGCACAAAGCGCACATAACAGCTTGCATAGTCACATTGCGGCACGTAGAAGAAGGTGTGAGTGGACTAAAAATATAATTCAACTGTGCAACAATTATCTCCAAAACTCAGTGCGATTACTCAGAAAAAGCAGTTTGTTATTGTGCTGTTTAAAAGAGTCATCTTTCTCAAAATTTTGCAAAAGCCTTAATTAACATTTAAAAGCTATTTTAGTTTAAATACAACAGTGAAGATTTAGCAAAGACCATAAAGCAGCAACCCAGAGTTTCCCCCTTTCAGGAATTATGCATAATGTTTTAGAAATCTGTAAAAACGATAGTGTTGCCCTGTTCTGGGATGTAATGGAGGCATTACAGACGTGGTTCACTTGTTTATTTATTACATTTGCAGTGGTCTCTAGTAGGAAATAGATGCCTTGGAAGTCATAATCTGGGGAATAAAAGCTCTGGTGCACCTGTTTCAGGACGGATAATTCAGCCAGAGGAGAAAGTAGCTTCAGACGACCAGATTCAGTCTTATTTCCTGATATTTTGGACATCTCGCCTCGGATTGGATAACAGCAACACGACTCTACCACTGACTCAGTTCGCTCTGCAGCATTGAGGTTTTATCTCCACAAATACCTCAAACCTGGAGGAGTTCTGTCGTTAGGTGAAGTTGCTAATGCTAACGGTTAGATTCTACTAGCCGAGACGTTCCGTTTCCTGCACGCTAAACCATTCACATAATCAGAAATAATCATTACAAATGTTTTCAGTGTTCCACACCTTTAAAGTGCACTACATTTTCCAACTCTAGATGGATTTCTGCTTTGAGATGTTTAACCTCAGAAAATAGTTCACAAGTAAGTTCTGTCAAAACTACATTTTAACGTGACAGACTGACCTCAGACGTTGAGGTTAATGAGTTCAGAGTCATGAGTGAGTTGAAGCCGAGACCAAACAGACTTACAGCCAAGCTACCTTCCACTGCAGCATCATTATCAAATAAGGCAGAAGCGATGCGGCACGGGTCAGTGGCAGGACAAAGTAACAGAAATAAACGATGCGCGCACACACACACACACACACACACACATATTGCTGTACAACACACACATGCTGAGAGAAACTCATCCAAACACACAGTGTGAAGAGTGGAAGGTTTAAATGAACAGCTGTTTTCCCACTGGCTCTCAGTGCCAGACGGGCCTATTAGCTCACTTCAGCTCTAACTTCAGCTGACACCTCGCCTTAGCTCTGCGACTGGCAGGTCACTTTGTGTTTGTGTTAAATGTGCTGAGGGTTAGTGACCTGATGGAGGGTGTGCTGTAAGCGAGCTCATCGCCGTTGAGCCACTGGTGGCTCCCAACTCTACTGGAGCGTCAGATTTCTGCTTTGTTACACGTGTGTGCTTGGCAGGAAGTACATTCGGCGATGACGGGGTTGCACGTCGATTGTTGCAACTAACGCTCATAAATTCAAAACACCTCCAGCGACCTTGACTGTACTGTAACAGCCCTGCGTCGCCACATTCCGGGAGTGACAGTCGGAGCTGAATTCAACACTTTTTTTCACTCCTCTTACAAAGCCAGCAAAGTTATAATGGTGACATTTACCATCTTGTTTCTCTGCTCTCTATTCAGGCTGAAAGCCATTTTCCCGTGTCAGACAGGCCTCTGCACATTTAGCCTACACGGAGCGGGTCGAGTCAAGAGTGAGCCCTTTATTTGCTTTCAGATAGACCCATTTCTATGGCAAACTGCACTTGATGGCACTTGACTGTTCAACCTTGGCAATGCTGCTGCCACTTATGAGTGAGTTTACGGCTGTGTGGAGGCTCGGTGTGATGCGCAGACAGCTGAAAGGCTGCTTGATGCCACTGCTGGCAGTTGTTTTTGGGTTTTGACAGAAACTGTGGGGCTGCAGGAAGTGCGGTGCTTTAAAGAGGGACGATCGTGCACCTCCTGGGCGCCATCTTTGTAAAATAAAAGTCTTTTCACGGATAAAACCGTTTAAAGCTTACAAATGAAATGTTAATTCTAGAATTGCTCTTCACACGTTGTCAGCTGCTGTATTAAGTTATGAGATAATCAGTAAGAGCCCACGTTGCTGTTAGCGGGAAGGTCAGCGCTTTAAATCGGAGTGGCAAAAACTTAATCTGCATAATTTGTGGCATTAATCTGCATAAACTTTTACATAAGCATGAATTTTTCTTTTCTTTTTTTTAATGCAGGGGTCAGCCGTCAGGGGCAGCAGTCAAGGACGTAAGAGCGCAGATTTGATCAAAGTGGCCACGAGAGAACGGAGATGGAGGAGGAGAGGGGATGGAGGGAGGCGGTGTGTGTGTGTGTGTGTGTGTGTGAGGGAGGTTGTTCACAGCGGGTCATAATCACCAGGTTTCTGTAACAAGCTGTCCTCAAAATCAGTAGGAGTGGCTGTCGCTATTACGCTCAATCAGGAGGAGTGACTGTAATGTGTGAATTAAACCAACTCAGGCATGAAACACCGGAGGTCTCAGCAGCTCCATCAGAATTTGGATTTCCGGAGATTCTCAAGCAAAAAATGTAATCACGAGCAACACAGTGCCTGCAGAAAAGATAAAGATAGTAGAGTTTGCATAAATGTCCCCCCCCCCCCCCCCAAATATAAAACAAACCAAGAAAACAAAGAATTATGCAACAAAACCGAGGACGGGACATTATACAGGAATTAAAATCACCTGACAAATTACACCATGATCAAAATTCTAAATCTGCTAAATTGTCAAACACCATCAATCTTTTAACACTTCGTGTTTTCAAATGAGTCTAAAAAAAAAAACACCACAAAAATTCCCCAGCACCAGGTAAAGAAATGCAGAAAACAACAGTTAGAGTTTTCCTGCTGTCACGTTGTCAAGCCCAGCTGACTGACAGCCTCCAATCAGACGTTTTGACTCTGATGCGTGGCGGAGGCGGCCCCTGCAGCACGGCCCTGGGCTCGGCGTGTCTGAAAGCCTGCATGTCTGACTGTAGACGTGTCTGCCTGAGAGCAAACACTTGATGCGGTTTGTCACATTTGCATAGCTACCTCTTACTTTTTCTATTCAAATTCCATCAAGTGCTGTTTTATTTTTATTATTATTTTTTGCTTTTCCAAACATTTTTCTTCCTCTTGTTTATAATTGCATGTTTAACCCACAGAATAAAAGGATGAATGGCTTCCTGCTACGCATCAAATGCACTAATGTTCCAACAAAAACGCTATTATACACACGTCAGCGGTTATATCCAGTGCTAAACTGAACATTTGAACATAAAAAGACTTCCAGTGATGTAACACACATACTGTACATACACACAGTGTTAGGAGACGATAGCCTAGGGAACAGGGTTTTGGTGCAGCGACTGTGACTGAAGTGAATCCAGGTATTGGCGCTGGGTGTCAAATATGCAGCAGTGGAGATAAATACAACACCTGAGGGATTACATGAGAGCATAGGGTAATTACACCATTCTTTGTGTGTGTGTGTGTGTGTGTGTGTGTGTGTGTGTGTGTGTGTGTGTGTGTGTGTGTGTGTGTGTGTGTGTGTGTGTGTGTGTGTGTGTGTGTGTGTGTGTGACTGTGAAAATACCTCTCACTAAGACCTAGGCTCTGAAGCTACAGCAGAGGGAGGGGATTCACATGCTGAGCAAAAGCCGCTGCCTGATGCAGTTTAGCTGACACACACACACACACACACACACACACACACACACACACACACACACACACACACACACACACACACACACAACGTAGAGAACGCAACGCCCTTTGGCCTTTAGAGGGCAGGCGAAGACAAGAAATATAAAAGTAAGAGTGGAGGAAGGGAAAGATTGGCAAAGAGAGAGGGAGGGAGGGAGGGAAAGAGGAGAAAAAAGATGCAGCGCTCTGCCCCCCCCCCTTCCACCACCACCAATGTCTTTTTCTCTCTGTCTCTGGTCTGAGTCTGGGGCTGAGGCAGACAAGCTGGGAAGCAGCATGGTAAACATCCTCGCTCCCTTTCACTCTCTCCCCGCCAAGATAGAGAAGGAGAGAGAGAGAGAGTAAGAGAGAGGGAGAAGAGAGAGAGACAGCGAGTGTGTGAACTGCAGCCAGGGGCACGGCATCACATATCCACAGGGAGCTGCTAGCTATAGCAACTGGAAACCAGAGCAAAAACAACAAGCGGAGAGAAGCAGCGAGCAGCCAGCAGAGATGCATCAGATGAAGGAAGAACAGATTTTTAAGGTGGTGTTGATGGTTTGAAACCTGAAGCGGATAAACATGCAGGGGTCAAAGTGGAGCAATTAGGCGTTTTTCTTTAGATGCAAAGTGAAGCTTTGTTCCACACAAATGTCATTGTTTCAACCTGCTTTTCAGCACAGGTGATCGCTAACTCAAAAGACTCAAGATTGTTTTATTGCCATTGTACAGGTGGACAACCAAATTGTCTTTGCGCTCACTTAAGACAGCTCTCGTCAGGAGGTTGTAAGATATCAGTAAATAACAAGGCTAAAATGGATGTCACACACACACATGCACGCTTCTTTAGCGAACACAGGGATGGGATCCCACACTCCAGCACTTCCAATAACAGGTCATTAAGGGGTCCAGCACAGAAAAAAGAAAACAGAAATCACAGCATTTTGGAGGAGGGGGTAAAGACTTCAACTCTTAGTTTATGTAATGCTACGTAACCATCTGAGATCCATCTGAGATTGTACCATTCAAGATTAACATCTTGAATGGTACAATCAGGATGAAGTTCAAATCAGGGGTTTTAAATTGAGGCAGAGGTGGTACCATCCTGACCATGTGCCAGCACATGCATACTCTGTAAACTCAACTGCCTCATTTTTTAAAGGCAAAATATTATAAAAGGCTCAATAATATGCATTAGATTGGTGTTTAGTCCCTTTTTCCCATCTGATATTTATAGTAAAAAATATTTTTTTAATTTTTGACCTACATTTCAGTAGCATTTTAGGTTTGTATTAAAGGGACAATGTGTAGTTTTTATCATTAATCTCTGGAATTATCCATTAAAATGTTGAAAATGAAGGAAATTATGCCCAGTTGTGGAAAAATATTGGTGGCTTCTTAAGATATAACCATAAAAATCGGGTCTAAAATACATGGGAGCGGGTCTAAGTCTCTGGGCAACACCACATTAGATGCCATGTTTCCTCCTACGGGAGCCCATGAGGACAAAATGCGCTTACTGATTTGTAACAAACGGTTACAAAACTTCACCATTCATAAACGTTGTAGTTTTACACAGTTACCTCTACTCATTGCCACTGATGAAAGGGAGTCTGATGTGCTTGTCATTTAGCTGAAGTTTGCACTCCACAGGGCTTTTTGACTCTAATGTGGATCTGTTGGTAAGGTCTTACTCCAAAACAAAAATACAGCTTGCTTGCAACAGTTTAGGTATCTACTGCCCCCTATCGCCAGGAAAAATACACACTGTCACTTTAATAACACTCATCTTAGTCAAAATAACATAAATATATCCAGTAAAATATAATGCATTTCATTAACATGCATTTGTATTGGAAATGGTAATAACATTTATAATTTCTGCTGCTAACAATGTCATGGTGGCATGTCTATTATGTAAGGGTTGGCAATAATCCAGTTTAAATTATGTTCAAAGATAGAAGCGTTTGTGAATTATATACTACAATGGCTTGCCGTACATCCTGCTTCTGTGTGCAGCGGTTCTGATTCATAGCGCTGCAGGATGCAGAATTAACAGGATGGTGGGGACTTTTCATTCGCTTGTAGAGTTTAGTCTTTCTTAGTTTTACGATCATCATATATTTTTCTGTGCGCCACTTGATCGTGAGACTGCTACTCATTAGCTTTAGCATTAGTCAATCTGCATGTAGCTGCACTTTTGATCCCAAACTTTGGACTGGTTCTGCCTTTGTGCCTTTGCTGGTTCCTGTATTTTCCTCCACTGCATCCAGATGACCACATTGTGCGCCAGTAAAAAGCATTTTTCTTACACATAACTTACTTTTGTTCAATAAAGTTCTGGGGAAAACAGTCATTCAAAGATGTTGCACCGGTGCTACGTTTAAAAATAGACAGACACGCACAGACAGTTTTTTTCGTCGCACTGTACAGCCTTGCTCTGATGCGGAAGAGCCTGGGGGAAAATCAGGACGTCAATAGCACCAACCATAGATATGTACCAACTAGCGAGAAAAGCTATTTTTGATCTTTGTCTGCAGCAGTTTTAGTGCTTTTCAGTGCACCGCTGCTGATGCAGCACTTGTGTAGTGGCGCAACGCTGCAACTGCAGTTAAAATAACATCCATATAGCTGGGGGCAGAGTGAAATCAGGCTGGGGTGGCACAAAATTCAATAGAGGCGGCTGCCACGCAAATTTGAACGCAGGAAAAACCCTGCAAATGTCATAGATTCAACATGGTGTTGAAAACATTCAGCACAGAGTCTGGTCCATAAGGACATGACTGCATCACAAAGATCAATCCCTGATGAGAATCTCCTGTTCCTCCTCATCCCAAAGGTTCTGGACTGGATTGAGATCTGGTGACTGTGTTGGTCGTTGGAGTGCAGTGAACTCGTGGTCATGTTCTAGAAAACGAGATGATCTGAGCTTTGTGACCTGGTGCATCATCCTGCTGGAAGTTGCCATCAGAAGATAGCTCCATGTGGTGATAAAGGGATGGAGATGGTCAGCAACAATACTCAGGTAGGCTGTGGTGTTGAAACCAGGCTCAGGTGGTACTGAGGGGCCCAACGTAAGACAAGAATATGTCCACACAATTGCACCACCAGCGTGAAGCAGAGATGCAAGGCAAGATGTATCCATGCTTTCATGCATGTTGGTGACACCAAATTCTGATCCGACTATTTGAACGTTGCAGCTGAAATCCAGACTCGACAAACCAGGAAATGTTTTTCAGTGACCCACGATCCAGTTCTGGTGATGCTGTGGGAATTTTAGCCTCAGCTTCCTGTTCTTAGCAAACTGAAGGAACACCTGCTGGTCTTCTTCTGGAGTCAATCTGCTACAAGGTTCAACATGCTGTTCTACAAACCTTTGGTTGGAACCATGTATTTGCACTACTGTTGCCCTTCTGTCACTCTGATCTCTGACATCAACAAGGGGTATTCATCCACATCATTGATCATTGGATGCTTTCTTTTTTGGGGGCCATATCCATAAACCCACAAAATGGTCATGGATGAAAATCCCAGTGGATCAGCAGACCAGTCTGTCTGGCACCAACAACAATGCCCAGCTCAAAGTCACTTAAATCTCTTTTCTTCCTTATTCTGATTCTCATTTTGATCTTTAGAAAGTTATCTTTACCACATTTAGATGCCTAAAGGCATTCAGTTGCTAACATGGGATTGGCATGTACACATTTACAGTGTAAATGTTCAAATGATCAAACAAGATGGAGAGACCGACAGCTGGGAGAAACCAATACTTTGCTTATAACTATGGACAATTACAAAAATGGAAGACACTAGAAAAAATATATAATTTTAGTTTATTTTTTCAAAGGTTTTAAAAGGTGAAGCAACATGACACAAGTAGGACATGTTAATATCCTGGCAGTGACAAAGCTTATGTACCGATGTGAAAATGTAGGCCGATATCAACATCCAATATCAATATCACTGTTGTATCCGATAACCGATATTTACAATTACATTCATAAGGAAATAACGATACACTCAAATATTTCATGCAGTGTATCGATTTTTCATTGAGGATTTACATGCAAACATTTACTGTATTTCTTTTGGTGTAATTCAAAGTGTGACTGCTAGGTGGCAGCAGTTTTTACCACCGTTATTCTGAAAGAACGATTAGATCAATAAGATCTTGTGATAAAACTGGATGTTTTACAAGCATATGACCTGAGATTTTCCAATTATGTTCAGCATAAAAAAAATTGCAAGTATTGTCTGACTTTTAGCATCCTGATTAATTGTATCACCAGATTATTGCGAATACACACACAAATATACGACGTACGTCCATCCATCCATCCATCCATCTATCTATCTATCTATCTATCTATCTATCTATCTATCTATCTATCTATCTATCTATCTATCTATCTATCTATCTATCTATCTATCTATCTATCTATCTATCTAACTATCTATCTATCTATCTATCTATCTATCTATCTATCTATCTATCTATCTATCTATCTATCTGCCCAGTTTTAGTTATCGATACAGATATTTAAAAAAATACTAACATCGGCCAACACAGATATTGATCCCGATAAATTGTCCAAGAGTATTTTAGCAGATGGAGAGCACTGCATGCCACTGTTCTGGAAATAGTGCAGATATTTAGTGTAAAAAGAGGTAGAAAAGCAAATGTTTTCTAAGAGCCATGCCATGTATCAGTCAATAAGGCAGAAGTTGAGCACAAGTGGATTTAAACTTAGAGGAAAGGACAAGATAAGAAGAAAAGAACCAGCAGCCTAGCTGGTGACAAAAAACAAACCCTACTCAACAGTGTCAAATGTTAAAATCCAGTAGTTTTTTCCAACAAAGCAATTATTTAAAGCCTAGATAGATAGACTAGATGTTCGAAACATGTTCTACAGAAGTGTCTGGATGATGAACTTTTCATTCAGTGTTTCTTGGCTTTTGTTGTTGGGTTGACAATGGAAAAAAAATCAAATAAAAGGTCATTCTCCCCACTTCTGCTCCTCTCTCCATCTGTCTGTTCCATTGTAAGACAAAATTCTCAGAAAACATGAAAAACGACAAACAAGCAAATGAAAATGTAAGATGTCTTTTGTGCTACAATCCAATCAGCAAATAGGCTTAATTGTGTTGCTGGAATTTGATTTGAGCCATTCAAACACTTTACGTTCTAGTTAAAACCTGAATAAGAGGTTCCACTGTTTACATCATGTTTCTGCTGCTCAACAATGCAGAGGTGAGTAAAGGTGTCCACTAGGACTGTGACAATGGAAGCACTCCACACACACCGCAGGGTGAGGCTCGTCATTCAAAGAAGACACACTTAACTGCTGCTTGTACAACATGACCCACTTCACCAGAGTTCAGACAAGTCCCATTGTTGCCTCCTTGTTAATGAACTTTATAAGTGAAAACTCTTCAGTGCACCATTCAGCTCTTTCCCAAGTTGTTGCCAAACATTTTAATTGAGGCTAAAAAGAAAATCGGTGAAACAGTAGTGCTACTTTATTCAGCTGGAGTCCGTAATGATTTAAGGTCACGGCTGGAGCACAGGCGTACAATCTTCATGGCCAACTAAACAAAGCAAATGCAGCTTTTGATATATATATGTATATGTTATAATTTTTTTAATCAAATCAACTCAGAGACCACAAAAGAGAGGAATTACACCTTGAAACTCAGCTTTGTTTGCAGCTGGAGAGAGAACATAGTTTTAGCACCTACAAATTCACCTCTTCACGTTGTCCTTGTGATTAAATGCACAACTTTAAACTCCATCCTTGGAGATTAAAAAGGACAGCAAACATTTAAAACAAGTGTGTCACGTTCCTTGGCCTATGCCCTTTTCTTTTTAAGAGGAAGCTGTTGTGGTCTGTATGCTCACTGAGGAAAAGCTGTTTAAACAGGGGGAAGAAGTGCTTGTATATTATAAGTGGTGCTAGACGTAAGTAGTAGTTAAAAAAAGGCTTTGGTAACAAATCTCACAATCATCACCTCCATTTTTTTTTCTTTAATGGCCCTCAGTTTAAGGCACACACACTTGTGTGAAACGAAGAAAAGCAAGGAGTAATCCTCGCGACCACCTGAAAAACACAAAAAAGAAAACGTGTGTGGTTATACGTGCATGCGTGGCGGGGTGGGAGGGAAGACTCGAGTTAAAAATTCCCAGTGAGGGGGAAGTCCTTGAACTACAGCCTGGAGAAACCTGCAGCTGAAACATCAACGTAGCCGAGCGAAGCCGAGGGCTCTGAACGCAGCTTCACCTCTAACAGTGAGAGCTCAGCTCCTCACAGCTGCCAGTTCAGGACCCACAGGGAAACGAGAGCTGAGCAGGAGGAACTTTCTGTGTTTCTGCACCATGTTGACAGGCCAAGTGTGCAAACACCTCTACCTGTGTGCATGTGTGTAGTATATCTCCTACAACAGACAGAGGAAGTGACTACAACAAATGAGGGGGCGGTGAGTTGTCTCGTGTCGCAGAGCTTTCTGGTCCACAGATTCTTGTTCACGTTAGGATCTGAGGGCATCCAGTGCATAAAGCATGTGTGTAAGTAGTTATGTGTACATTAAGACATGCACAAAACCCTCTTTAAATTATGAATTATTAGTTCATCCACATTGGAGGGTTTTCCAACATAAACAGCCTGTTTTTAAAGGTCTCATTCACTCATTTTTTAAGCAAATCTGCTGTGGTCTCTAGTGTGAATGCATGCGTTGTGAGTCATTTCCTGCAGAAGAAACGCTCTGGCGCTCCTGTTTCAGGAAGTACAAGTTTGTGGGAGGAGTGCATGTGGCTACATTTTATCTCACCAGTGTGTGTGTGTGTGTGTGTGAATGGATGAATGATATACCGTGTATAGCACTTTGGAGTCCCCCGACTCAGAAAAGCGCTATACAATTGCGGATCATTTATCATTTACACAAGCCACGGCTGCCCTGGAGCGCACCGACAGAAGCAAGGCTACCAACTGGTGACACCGGTCCCTCCGACCACCACTAGCAGATAAGGTGGGCTCAGTCTGTTTCCCAAGGACAGAACAACTGCAACAGATGGGGCCCAAACCTGCAACCCTCTAGTTACTGGGTGGGTATTAACTCCTCTGCCAACTTCGCTTGTGTCACACATCTTCTAAAAAAGGTCAGAAAATGTGAAAAAAACGTTTAGTTACGTCAGTACAGAGGATGTTTTCTAATGAATTCTTTCGGATCTTTGGTTCAAATTTGAGAGCAGGGGATTTTGTTTTGGAACTAACCCATGATGCTAATTTTGCTCTTCTGTCTATTTTTGGGGCAGCAGTAGCTCAGGAGGTAGAGCGAGTTGTCCAGTAATTAGCGTTGGGTACCGAATTCGGTACTTTTTAAGGTACCGACCGAATTCCATAGTACCGACTGAGCACCGATTCACGTCATTTGAAACGGTGCCTCGTTTCGGTACCCGTCCTTCATAGCGAGAACTTGCCTAGACAGCTGCGCATGCGCAAGAGCGTTATGTCGTCGGTCGCTGCGAGCCAGTTGTAAACAGAGCAGCATGGTAGAAAGAACGCACGCTAAATCTTGGGTCCACTTCACTAAATGTGATGGGTAACTGGGTGATGATGAAACCAGCGACAACGATCTAAGTGAGACATCCTCGTCTTAATCTGCTCCGGTAGGTAAATAAAATGTTTAAGATAACGTTAGCTTGATATGTTAGCTTCCGTTTCGCTAATGGTGCGTTCGCTTTCTCCTCGGAACTCCGAATTTCCGACTAGAAAAACATGAATGCGCTCTAAAGTTTGGCTTCACTTTACTAAATGCGACGGGTGATTGGGTGAAGATGAAACCAGCTTCAACGATCTAAGTGTGAGGCATCATCGTTTTAATCTGCTCCAGCAGCTAAATAAACTGTTTAAGATAACATTAGCTTGATAAATTAGCTTCCATTGCCACCGTTGTTATCAGCTAATGGTGCGTTCGCTTTCTCCTCTGAAATTCTAGCTTCCCAGTAGGAAAAATCAAATGAAAAAGGACGGCAAAAGGAATGAAGATACACAGTAAATTTAGTTCACAGTAAAGATGTTTGCTTCAGTTTAATTATCAGCTTATAAAACTACAAGGACGATGTTAAAATACAAACAGTTGTATGTTATTTATCGTGATATTTATCAAATATGGTTATAAATTGAGAAAAATATATATTTAATCATAAAAGAGAATTAAAATATTAAACACTCAAAAGTATTGAAAATTGGTATCGTTAAGTACCGGTATTGATTCCTAGGTACTGGAAATTAGTACCGAATTGATTCAAATGTCAAAGGTACCCATCCCTACCAGTAATTGGAAAGTTGCAGGTTCAATCCCGGCTCCGGACAGAGAATTCTGCTGTTGTGTCCTTGAGCAAGACACATAACCCACCTTGCCTGCTGGTGGTGGTCGGAGGGACTGGTGGCGCCTGTGCTCGGCAGCCTCGCCTCTGTCAGTGCGCCCCAGGGCAGCTGTAGCTAAATCGTAGCTCATCACAACCAGTGTGTGAATGGATGAATGATACACTGTAGTGTAAAGCGCTTTGGATTCCTCTGACTCTAAAAGGCACTATACAAGTGCGGGTCATTTATCATCATATTTCTTTTTGATGAATCATGAACTTTGACCTCTATCTGAACCAAGTGAAGCTTGCATGCTTTAGATGTTGTTGTGGGTACATTTGATTTTGAATTCCTTTAAAACAGGCAGGACGTGTTTCTTTTAGAGATCGTTTAATTTTTTTGTGATTTCTTGACGTGACTCAGTAATTCTACAGGTATGCCTACGGGTCTGAGTGTAGACAGTAAAACCAAACCATGTGATTCAACAAGAGGGGTGATCACTTTATCCCAAAGGACCAGACTTCTTTTTCAAAACTGCATTTTATATTCACTCAGGTTACTTTGAAATTGGTTTTCTGATGTCAAACATTAAAGCTTGACTAAAAATGCAAAAACTGAAGGAATCAGAAAGGGCGCTAATACTTTTCACTGTTTACAACTCGAGGTGGACCAACCTCGTTCTGAGAGCTCTTCATTAGTTATTATTGTCACGAGGCAGGTTGGTGACAGCTTAAAGGCTCTTTTCTTTATTTCTCCACCCTCTTCTCCAACTGACACGCCTGCTGTGTGTGCCATGTCTGAGCCTCACTGCTAACAGCTCTGGGTCTTTTCCACCCCAATCAAGGAGGTACCAACTGCCGCGGCCACTCTGCAAAACATAAAACAAGTCTAGCAGCTGAGCAAAGGACTTGCCAGCACACTCTCTCCACAGATAAGTAATTGCAGACAAGCATATGCTCATTACAAGATTTGAGAAATGGAAAAATATTTGTGCATGCATGCAATCAAATATACAGTCAAGGACACTTCAGTGCCGAGTAAAAAAAATAAAAAATAAAAATAAAAACAAGCCAAAAAAAGAAATAAGTCAAGCACATAGACAGGGGGTCGTGAGGGGCAGCCTTGGGCACCAGGAGGAGGAGGGGAATGGCAGGGCAGAGTCAGCCTTGCCCTCAGCCATGGCATCTTTTCATTGCCAGCTTCATAAAGCCTGTAGGGATAGAGGTAGTGGGGGCAGGATCTATCCATTCTACCCCCCTCTTTGTGCAATTTACCCGTAAAAATGCCCAAATACACACTCGCATACAGAGCACAGGCCTCCAAGCAGACAGACAGGATTACAAAGGGGTGAGATCACTCCCAAATAAAGGCTTTGTTGGTGTGCCAGTGTCAGAGCTGCCCTCTGTGGCCTACCAGAACCTTGGCAGCTTGGATCGAACTGTCTGCTGGAAACAACTAGGACAACGGAGTGAATGCCTCAATGAAAAATATAGTTTCAGGAAATGCAGCTGGCACTCGCAGGAATGAAAAAATAAAAACACAAAGGGATACAATAAATAAGGAAACAGTGGAGTGGAATTGCACCTGGTCCACTAGCCTGGTTTCCTTCCATGGGTAAGTGCAGCAAGTCTACCTGGCCAAAAAATAAATAAAAAAAATCTCTGACATATATGGGCGCTGGAAATGCAGCCGCAAGCAGAAAACTGCGAGACGAGTTGGAAATAAAAACCTGGAGTGAGCAACAATGTAAGGTTGGTAACCAAGCTTGAGCTATCCCCTGAAGCTAGAACTTTCCACTTTTAACAGCCTGGACTAGAAGATCTAAAAAAGAAGAGAGGCAGGGGAAAAAAAAGCACTGGCTTATCGATGGTATCCATGGCAACCAAATGAAGATCATGGAAAAGAGACTGTATGAAACAGTATAGCCTGGAGTCAGGAGGACCACCTCCTCACCAACTCCCTGCTGTAGCCTTTAGACAACCCGCCATCGTGGCGGGAGGAAATCACAAACAGTCAGTAGAGAGCGAATGAGAAGAAAGGAGGATAACCCTGAAGGGCTTTTCAAACAGACAATTCTCATCCCTGTTGTGCTGTTTGGTCCAGCAACAAGACCTGGCCTAGACGGTAAACCAGACGTCTGCTGCACCCACGTTAGTTCTCTTTATCCTCTCATTTTACGGATACAGACAGCTGCTTCATCTGACCTCTTTTAATTCGCTTGCCCTCCTGTTTCTGAGGAAAGGAGAGAGAACCCCCCCCCAAAAAAAGAAAAGAAAAGAAAAGAGAGCACTCTCCTGTTTCCTCTCCGGGACTAAACAATCCCAGTTTAATTTATTTTTTTAGGACAGAATATGTACATGTATTAATGGGAAAGTCAAATCAAATTAACTATAATTAGTCAAACTGAGAAGAGTGCTGAGACAGAGGTGTGCTTCTACGTCGGAGACTTGTTCATCGTCTGCAAAAAAAAAAAAAAAAAAACGCTCGTCTCCACACGTTAACCCAAAAATACACACACGTCATCTCTGCCACCTGCTGCTGTACAGCCAACGACTCTCTCCTGACACCCATCACGCTCTCTACAACCCTCCTGAGCTCCGACTGGATGAAGACATGCAAACTGTTGTGACATTTCTACAAAATAACCTTCATGTAGTATTTGCAAGCAAACTGCCCCGACTCCTCTAATCTTGTCAGAAAGACATTAGCAGACATCTACTGAGGGTAATGTGTTTGGATGGACTCGCTGGTGCTGAACTGAATGATGGAGGAAGTTTAGACAGGGGGAGTGGGCTTTAGTAATCGTCAGTTCCCCGTAGGGGCTGGTATTACCTCTGTGTCTAGAACAGTCTGAGATAGTTAAAGCAATGCAGGTAACTGAATACCAGAAGTAAAGGACCAACAAAAATAACAACAGCCAACAAAACTGCACAGTTAAACTGCAAACGCTAGAAAGAAACCCAGAATAGAATCCTGACTTGTGTTCAGATTTCTTAAAAGTTCCAGTGGGCAATTTATTTAGACATCTGCCAACCAAATGTTACCCTCTATGTTGTCCTCTAAAGCTTCTGCTGGCTGCACAGGTTCTACTCAACACTGCGGCTGCTTTGGATTTGTTGTAGTTTTTCCAGCACATAAATAAAAACACTTTAAAGACCAAGTTCACTCATTTTTTCTACATATTTTAGTGGTCTCTAGTATAAATGAATGCCTTGTGAGTTGATCACTGTGGGGAAAAAAGCTCCAGCACACCTGTTTCAGGAAGTAGAATTTAGCCAGATCAGAGGTGAGCTGAACGTGGCAGGATTTGAAGTCTTGTTTCCTGATATTCTGACATCTCACCTCTGATTGGCTAAAGCCGGGCGTACACTGTGCGACTTTTTCACTTGCAGCGTTCAGCTTCAGCTCAAACTGTACGACTTCCTCGCAGAGCAGATCTCACGAGTCATGTGCTCACACTGCACGACCCAGTTCTCGCATGCGACCTGACTGCTCACACTGTACGTCTGGTAGCAACACGTCGGCCCTAAAATTATGCTAAAAATAGCAGTTTTTACTCAACACGTCAGACTTTTTTGTCTTGTCTTGCCTGTTGTCCTTCGGGAGTGCTGCAGGAGGACACACAGGGATTTACGGGGGTTGGATGAGGAAAACGAAATAAAGAAAGTAAATCTGTGTTTTGTGATCAGTTTAATTTGACATGAACACGACAAACACGCTTTCTTGAAGTTTGGCTGTGATGTGGGCAACTTTTAGTTCCAAGAAACGGAACCCCCCCCAACACACACACACCCTGAGAATGACTTACAAGGCTAATGTTAATAAAGGAATCCTTGTTGTAAAGTGTTACCAAAATAAGATGGCTTATCTGTGTTTAACATCTTTAAAGATTGTTAGATAATGTGACTTTTCATCCGAAACAAGAATCTCGGTCTTATTCATAAGTATAAATGGACAGTACAGTTTTTAAACACTGAAACAGTGTTGTAGCCATTTGTAGACCAATGTCACCTGGTCAAAGACAATAAACCAAGTTTCATAGTTTCTCTCTAATGTTTTTCTAATGTATTATCAGATTATATCCTTGTTTCAAAGGGTATTAAAAACACAAAACCTTTGTGTAAGCATGAAGAAGAAAATATCCTTTTTATAGCGCCTCTCAAGATAAAAATCACGAGGCGCTTCACAAAAACAAAACAAAAATGTTAAAATATAAAAAAGCATTTAGAAAATGTTTTAAAATATATTTTAAATTAGCAAAAATAGGCAATTGGGATTTAAAAGAAAAAATGTTAAGAAAGAGAGAGAGTGAATAGGAAAGAGGGAAATCAGTGGATCCTGAGGAAGGTGGAATAGGTGGGGAGAGCAGAATAAAGAGAGAGTGGTGAAGAAGGTCATACAAAAGCCAGCTTGAACAAGTGAGTCTTCAGCTGCTTTTTGAAGGAGACCACTGAGTCCACTGATCTCAGGCTCAGGGGGAGAGAGTTCCAGAGTCTGGGGGCCACAGCAGCAAATGATCTGTCACCTTTGGTCTTTAGCCTGGTGCTGCACAACCAGTAGGCTTTGGTCACTGGACCTCAGGGACCTGCTGGGGGTGTAGGGACTAAGAAGATCACCAATGTAAGATGGTGCTTGTCCATGTAAGGCCCTATAGACCAGAACCAGGATCTTGAAATGAACCCTGAAGTTGACTGGCAGCCAGTGAAGCTGGAGGAGAAGCGGGGTGATGTGGGTGTATTTGGAGTACTTGGTCAGAAGCCGAGCACAGGTGTATGAAAAGGTGTGTGTATAGTTGTGTGTCATCACCTGCATGTTCCAGAAGCATTTTGGCAATGTCCATGTGTCCGTTTAGTAGGGCATCGTGCAGAGGACTGACTCCCTCAACCTGGTCGGTGAGGACGGGGGCGGGGCGGTGATGGAGTAAAGCTTTCACACATTCAGTGCTGCCGTGGTTACACGCTTCATGGAGAGGTGTCCAGCCTGCATGGTCTACATGGGAAACAGCCACAAACAGAGAAAGTAAACTTTATTTAAACAAAAGGTTAAAAAAGATCTGGTAGAATGAAAACATTTAAAGTATGAGTAGAGTAACCACCACACAAGATAAACCCTTCATTGCACCAACCGTAGTTGGTTAGTTCTCACAAATAACGGTTTGTGTGTCAGAATAAGGAACATGTAGGAAAAACGCATGAAGCACACCTTAGAGCCGAATGAACAGGATGTGAGTTCATTCAGAAAAGAATTACATTCTTACAAAAACAAAAAAACCTAAAAATAACTGGAAGGAGATATGATGCTGCATTTAGTTTCATTGTCTTTGTTAAATTAAACTAGGGTGGAAAATTTAATAAAGGAGGAAAAACAGGTACATGTCTTTTAACAATTCATGAGATTCATTTAAAAAGTTGAAATTAGGGAAATGGAAAAGTTCAAACTAAATACACAGATTGAGAATATAATGATAAAAATAAATTCAGCTGGGGCAATGGGACTATAAACCAAAACATAGGCCTTGTTTCTGAAGAAAACTACAAACTAACTTAACCACATTACCAATTATTCTATTTTCCTTACATTTTGGACACCGCCCCTCACATATTAATTTAAGCAGCTTTAAATGGACATTTTTTAACCAACTGAAATACATTTTCAAAATTTCTATTCACTCAATGAAATGAATGTAAATCTATAAGTCAGAGACCTTGAACCCTGCCTGCTTTCTTTCTAGACACACCCTTCACACTATAGCGAAAGGTTACCCTCAGTGATGACGCACACACACGCACACACTCCTGTTTCCTAATTCCATTATTCAATCCCAACCATAATTGCTCTTTGAAACCTCGGAGCAAATGGTTGGAACGCAGCGGGATAAAAACGAGACCGAGGTTACGGAAAAACACGGAAATGTGGGGAAAAAAAGTCTTACCTTTAACGTTGATGTCCGTGTCAGGATGCGCCAAGATCTGAAGCACCGCTTCTACTTGGTTCCTTATGCAGGCTCGGTGGAGAAGGGTTTCTCCTTCGACCAGGACACGCACAATGGACAAACACACCCAAAAAGAGAGAGAAGGGGCGGAAGAGAGGAGAGAAATTAGGGTGTGTCTGATGTCCTTCCCATTGTCCCTTTACGTTTGATGTAAACGCCAATAAGCGAACACCCAAATGTCCCCAAACACATTGTTAAAACAAAGAAAAAAATTCTGACCTAAAAAAAAGTGAGACCCACCAATGAGGATGCGATTTAGAAAGTGATGAGAAAAGGGGGGTGATCTTCAAGCGGGGGGAGAGATAAAATGGGGAGGAACAAAATTGCAGACAGTTGGGTTAATCTGCCTCCCTCTTTTCCTTATTCAAAGCATATATCCCCTCTTAACTAAGTTAATATCCGGGCAGAGGCAAAGTGCTTCGCGTCTGCTCGCTCCTAAACTCTCAGTTGAGAGGAAGTTATGGTAGAGAGCCCACATACAAAGCCGCTGAAAGGATTCTTCACAGATTTGGGGTTCAAAAGCTCCACTGGGCATTCCCAGTTTCCCCACGTGACATTTAATCAACAAACTACCAGTAAAAAAACCAGGAAGTGAAATCAAAAAATTGAATTTACATTTCTAAACAGAAATTCTCTCCTCTTTTCCTGCTCGTCTTGACTACATCCCTCACCTTTTTTTTAACACATAATGAAATCGAGAATCTTTAAGGAGGCTGGAGCCCCGTCTTTTCATGTATGGCTGAACTTCAGAGGGGAAGTTAAAGGCTAAGCATGAGCGGCTCTGTGCTTGCAAGTATAATACAGAACTGCAAAGGCTGTAATAAATGCTTTACTGGTTCTCCCCAGGATGCCGTGCCTGTACAGGGGCACTGCTTAAATGTAGAGGGCAAGGACAAGGGCAAAAACGGCGGGGGAGGAAGAAGAGGTTCATGAAAGAAGAAGTTGCCTTTAGATGCATACAATATTGAAACTCCTGGATAATTTCCATTTTTGAAGAATTTCTTGCTTCTAGGAGGTGTCTTGGATGCAAAAGGTGTATTTAAAACCCACAAACAGTAAAAAAAAATGAGGACAGCTTGTTCTTTTGGTCAGTTTTCAAGCTAATGAGCATTGGTGAGGGTTGGAATAGAGATGTTTGCTTTCTGGCTTAGATCTTCACCACAACAGACTGCTTTGGTCATGATGTGGCTCACTCGTTTAATCAATACATTTGCAGTGGTCTCTGGTAAGAATGAATGCCTTGCAAGCCGTACTTAGGGCAAAAAAAGCCCAAAGGCACTTGGATCAGCAAGGACAACTCTGCTGCAGCAGAGAGTGGCAAAACATGACCGGATGGTTTCCTGATAATTGAACATCTCGTCTCGGAATGGATAACTGCAATGCGACTCTACCACTGGCTTGCAACATGGATGTGTTATCTCCAGACATAACAAGTCTGGAGGAGTTTTTCTGTGTGGTGATGTTGCTAATGCTAACAGTTAGCTTCTGCTAGTCCGGAATGTGTTCTGTTTCTTTGACGCTAAACCAACAACGGCCTTCCCCGTCGTAAAGAGTGAGTACATGAATGTTAAGTGACAATGGGATGTAGATCTGCCAGTTTTTTTTCTAGTTTCGCCATCTATTTCATATCATACGCTAATGCAGGATATGATGTAGGAGACTCGCAATAACCAACTACATTCAGAAATAATCATTTTAAAAGGGTTTCTCAGATTTCCACACTTTTAAACAAAGAACCCATAGGATAACTTAATATTAGATAAATATGACATGTGAGTGCAACCTCACTCAAGTCTGAAGTGAATTGGTCTTAAATGCTGCTGACTAATTGGCTAAGCATGCAGAGGTACGTACGAGTTATAGTATTTTTTAAAGGGGCTAATTTGAACTTAAATTGGCAAAATTCAACAAAAGTATCAGCAAAAATCATTTGAATGATTAACTAGCCCATCTTTGTATTTGATACATGATACCAACCAACAAAAAATAAATCAATGTATTTCATATAAGTATTTAAACTTTTCACATGACACTATCTTTTATGCATGAAGGAAGGATGAAGATTTCCAATTTATCCTTAAAGACTTGCAACAAAAGTTCAAAAAAAAAAAGAAAAAAGAAATGAATCAGAGGAATTACTGGACACATGAATAGGCGGAAAATAAAATTTCCTCTTGAATGATATTTAGCCAAAGTCTAAATTCAAGAAGAATGAGTCTTTTATTATGAAAAGAACACAAAACGTCTTCAGCAAAGCAGATATTCATGTTGCTGAGTCGTTTCAGGATGAGCTACAAAAGTATAAATCAATTAGTGGAGTGTACTCACATATTTCCAAACTAAAAATCAAAGGCAACCAAACAGACTGCGGAGCCAAACCCAAACTGCAGCCCTTAATGACTAAGCTGTACGATGTGGTATGTCAGGGTTCTTCGTGGGCTGCTGTGCTATTACTGGGCGCTGAAACGCTGTGATTAAACAACCATTCCACTACACCCCATGTGTACACATCCTCGCAAATGCCAGGGCCAATCCACGCAGTGTTAAATCACTTTAATGGCTCCAATTTGGACACAACGCCTCTATTATAGGGGTAATTGCATGCTCAGCATTCACAAGTAAGGAAAGAATAAATCCGCCTGTCCTTTTCCATAAATCCCCCGTTTCACACTTTAATAGAAAAGTTAAAAGTTAAATGTATGTGTTGCTCTTTATATCCCTCAGTCTGCTTGCTGCACTCCTATAAAGTGCCGCTCGGCCCACTGAACCCTGGACCAGAAAGCTGCTGGAAGTGCTGTTTGTCAGGATTGTGTTGGAGAGGTGTTCTGCAGCCCGTTATTCGAGGACTTCTTCTGTCGCTGGCTTCAAAAGCCAAGTGTCATAATATGAATAAAGAAATAATTATTTTAGCAATCAGCATCATGTGTGTTTTGTACAAAGTACAACACAATCTTAGAAAATAATGAGAAAAGTTCAGTTTTAGACAAAAGTATAAGAAATCTCTTCATTTTTTTGTTTGCGCTCTTAGAAAATTTTGGCGTGATATAGAATGAAAAAAAAAAGGTATTCAAACATTCTTTACAGCAAATCAATAGATACCGGTAGCTTGAAGAAGAAGAGAGGAAGACTGGCGAAGGTCAGTAAACGCAACATAAAAACAAAAAAAAAAAAAACAAGTTATGTTATTTTTTTCAGAACCGTCTGAGGAGCGCACTGTCAATATATCACAATTCTATACAAGATAAGAAGTCCGAGTCTAACGGAATAACAGGAGGAAGCTGTGTAGCTGCAGACATTGTTGATGTGAAGGGACTTTAGAATATGAGACAGCTGCTGTAGAAAGACCTCAGAAAAGTCCACGTTTAAGAACAAAGCAGACAGAAGTTTTCAAATGTTGACAACAGGACACAAAGCAACTCCGTCTGCCGAACAGGAACACCTGAAAACTCCAATAAGACCATTACAGCTGGGTAATTAAATGAAGTTCATTGATGTAGTGCCAAGAACAAACATTCATCTGAGGACACTAAAAAGCAGGTTAAACTCATCCCTAATTACATGACATCTAATTCTGTTCATTACATTGTGTTTGATCCAATTCATTCCAATGCATCATACTTCCAACTAGGAGTGGGCAATATAAACGATGTAAGGTAGAAACCATATAAAATTGTGTAATGACAGAGTTTTTGCCTCTATCGCGGTAACACATGACGTCACTGAGATGTGCATCCGCGCCGACATTGGGACAACAGAACGACAGTGACTGCAAGCACGGAGAGGGCGGAGGAGGAGGAACATTCTACACTTTATGGATGACTTTATTCTGCTGCAATATATTTGCCATATGAGGATTTTTAAAAGCATGTCATTTTGACATATATAAACAAAGGAAAAAATATATCGCAATCAATTTCCTTATCGCACATGCTTCAGATAATATCGCAATATATATTTGAGGCCATATCGTCCAGCCCCACTCCCAACTCTATTAGATCAGAGAAACGTATAACGACCGTGTGTTGATTGAAAGGAAAAAAAAAACAGGTTTATTTTCAGTTTGCCACTCAAAAATAAATGTTTTTAATAAGGTCCTTTTATATATTATCAAAAGTGTGGTTGAGAGAAAAACATTTGTTAATGATCATTTCTGATCTCTGAGGTTTTTCATGCAGGCTGAACATGAAAACAGACTTCTACATCTATCTCCTGCATTAGCTTCTGAATGAAAATAGACAGTGAAATGCTAGGATTTGAAAATCCTCACACACTGTGAGGTCACCTGTGAATTAGCAGTCATGGCCTCGCCCATCTTTGTTCGTGCCTACCCACAGGAAGGCTTTATTTGTTTTGGCAGCAAAAAGAGAGAGCGGAGAGTGTCTTGGTGATGGTGACTTTGCAACATGGCTGAATGTACTCTGTTAGCCAATCAGAAGCAATGTATGTGCATATCATTAATGAGTAATCCTGCTGTTTTCAGCTCACCTCAGCACCAGCAAGCTTCTGCATCTCAGAACAGGAGCATCATGGCATTTTTAAAATGACTCATAAGGCATTGATTTACACTAGGGAATGCTACAAATGCATCGAATAAACAAGTAAACCACACCTTTAATGACAATAATAAAATGATTACTCTAAAGATTGTTCTAGTTCACACCTGATAAACAAAAAAAGTGAACATAGCTGAAACTATGAAAGCTAAAAACAAATTTATTTAATATGAGATTAAACTAAGGATCAACAACTAAACTAGCGCCGACACAAAAATTACAATAGCCATGCAATAGCTGTGTCTTCCAGGAGTGTGCTCATTATTTCAATAACTTTTCAGTGGTCTCTAGTATGAATTGATGACCTATGTGGTCGTTTTTAATCGAGCAAAAAAAAAAGCTATTGTCTTTTGTTTCAGGAGGTAGAAGTTAGTCAGAGGGGAGGCAGAAAATAAAATAATTTGGAGACTTGCTCATCAATATCCATGATATGGGAACATCCCATCTCTGAGTGGCTAACAGTACGCTTTCTCTGCCTTCATTCGCTCTTCTTTCTTGGATAATAAATGCCAAACTGATGAAGCTTGGCAAGCCATCATGTATGCATAAATGTATAGTTGTGGGGCAGAATCTGTTGTCTTTCAAATGGTGTCCACACTTAAATGGACAGCATTAGGACCAATCAGAGCAGCAAACAATGTGACACATTAATCTCCATGGAAATCAGCTAAAGGGGCAGCACACCATACACCATCAAAGAAGAAGAAACAAATACATCCTTTACAGTATTTATTTAAAAAGGAAAAAATCTGCCATGTAAAATCAACTCAAATCCATAGGAGCATCAATCCCCTTTAGCCTTTAAAAACAAGTAAACCACTGAGGAGCATATAAAGGTGTCTTTAGAGCAATAAGATGAGTCCATGCGGTCTGAGTAGGTCCAGATGTATCCTGTTCCGGAGTGATAGATCATTTAATTATATTAGGTAATGATCCCCTAAGCCTTTTGCAGTTTTATGTTAAGGAACATAAAAAAATCCCCTTTTCCCCACAAACATTACAAACATTTGACTAATAAGGCTTAATGGTGGGGAGATGTCACACCCAGGTGTATGTGTTTTATTTAGAATTACATAATATTCCCAGGCTTTTATAGCATTAACACATAAACAATCTGAAAGAGTTTGTGATTTAAAACGAGTATTTTCTCTGGCCTTATGGTCTTTGATTGTGTGAAAATCGACATTAATGACAAAATCCAAGCAGGTTTTTAACTGAGAAACTCAGCAGTTCTTGTTTGACAATCTACGTGTGGTATATTTGGGCTCATTAAAATTGATATCTGTGCTGAGCATCAAAAAAAAAGAATAAAGAAAAAAAACACGCAAAAGTGAGAAAGAGAAGTTGCTCCCAAATCCCTCAACTCCTCTCAGCTACGGTGACAAAGATACAGGGGTTCCGCCAGGAAAGTCAGAAGTTGCTTTAAGACAAAGTTGTGTGGAAAACAAGAAAGTGAGCTTACATATGTGGGTGAAAGTGCCTGTAAGAGGAAAAATAAGAAGGGGGTGAGGAGGGGGAGTGATGGGAGGGCGAGAGGGGAGGATGCTGTGCCAATGGTTCATCAAAAATTAATGCCGAGCGCATCGGTATAGAGATCACGTAGTTGAAAAACAACACATGCCAACAGCCTGGAGTCTCCTGCCTCAGCTCCTCTAGTGCCTCTCCTTTACCCTCCACCCTTCCCTTGCACCGGCGCAGGGCCTTTCTGATCAGGTGGTGGAGGGAGATATGAGCGCTGACACTTTGGAGAGTTCACACGGAGTGCATTGCCTGTAATTGATGGAAGTGTAGCCACTGTACACTCACAGTGATGCCCTAATTGCTGCTTTTAACATCTTAAAATGGAGATCTGAGCCACACTTTGCATATAAACATGTTTTTTTTTTCTCTTTTCAAAAGAAAAGGGGATAAGATATGAAGAAAAACAAAAGCTGTAAATCTGCATTTCAATGCAAACCAAAAAAAAGAGGATACGATACTCAGGCGTGGCTTAAACTCTGGCAGGAGCATAAACGTGAAGGCAGCCCCGCTTATTCATCAGAGCGCCTCTTACAGCTGACTGGATGGAAACATGGAATCAATCACCATCTCCATACATTATAAGCTCTTCAATAAACTCAAAGTGATGACAGAGCTATCATGTCCCTGTTTAATGATGGCCCAGTGTCACACATCAGTCCATTAAAAGTCTGAGTGTGAGTGTGTGTGTGTGTGTGTGTGTGTGTGTGTGTGCGCGCGTGTGTGTGTGATACCTGCTGCGTTGACTTTGCCCAAGTCTCTGAGTGTGTTCTGGCTCTCTGGGCTCGTTTTAGTTCTGGATGGAGATTTAAAAAAATAAAAAATAAAGAAAAGAAATCAGTGTTAGAATTAGGAAGCCAATGAATTACCAATGATTCACCTAAAGAGTTTATATAGAAAGTGCCAATAAGAAATTAATCCTATGTATGTGATGATGTCTGTCAAACCCACGCTGGTCACACACACACACGTCACACTCCCTATCCTCCATCACCGTCTCCAAAGTAGTTTTCCCTCCCACTTAACAGCTCCAAAGCAGGGATGAAGAATTCTATGTGAGCGAGCACATTAGGGAAAAAAAACTAGTAAAAGAAAGTGAAACGTCTTCAAAGCAGCGCCGTGCTAATAGCACTGGGCTGTCACTAGTCCTGTGCGTATGGAGCATCTGCCGGCACCGAGTCTGACAGGTGTCTGGTGTGTGTGCGTGCGTGTGCGTGCGTGTGCACAAGCGTCGCCCTGAAGCGGAATGCCATCCGTATTACAGGGAAGAGGCTTGTTCGCTGGTAATTGGGTTGTTCAGAAGCCAGGAAGGAGCTGCCAGCAGTGAGGAGGAAACACGCGTCCTGTCACGTTGCTTGTTATTAGCAGGGACAAGGCTGAGAAGAGACGAGCTCTGTGTGTGTGTGTGTGTGTGTGTGTGTGTGTGTGTGTGTGTGTGTGTGTGTGTGTGTGTGTGAAAAACGCAGGAGAGACTCCGCAATGCCGTCTTATGATGAGGGTGCACCATTTTTCCAGCTGCATCCCTTTCACCGGAGTGTCCCCCATCCACTCAACGTTGCTGGCAGCAGTGGAGGCTGAGGGTTCTGCACACTTGGCCTTTATGGAGGCCAGCAGACCAATCAGGGCCTGCAGCAGGGTGCGTCACCTTAAGGCAAACTCCCAAAAATTAAAAGAGGAGCAATAATCTTTTTTTTAATCAAGTGTCATTGAGAGAGGAAACCTCCTTAGATATAGATTTTTGTAAATATAATTGAATTTGCTTAAACTTAATATCAATAACTTTTCTTCTTTGCTGCAGAGACAATAAAATCTTAGCTGAGTTGGAAAAAAAACTTACAATTTTGAGCGTATGCACATTAAAACGTGTTTGGCACACATTCAAACTTGATCCATATAAATGACTGGTCAGAGCAGATGATGACACCGTGAGGTTCTTGTTCTTGTCTGGGGTGACGGTGACACAGGAGTTAAATGCTCGTCCCGTAATCGGAAGGTTGCAGGTTCGAGCTCCGCTCAGTTTGTTTCTGTCATTGTGTCCTTGGGCAAGACACTTAACCACCCTTGCCCGCTGGTGGGGGTGGTCGGAGGGACTGGTGGCGCCAGTGCTCTGCAGCCTGGCCTCTGTCAGTACGCCCCAGGGCAGCTGTGGCTACATCGTAGCTCATCCCCACCAGGGTGTGAGTAGGTAAATGACCTTGGGGGGGTCCACGACTCTAGAAGGCGCTATATCAAATACAGGGCATTTACTATTTGTTGAACTTTTTTTTAGGATGACGGAAATGGAGAAAATTGTGGCGCTTTATTAAGCCAGCAGGAGGAAAACCTCCGTTTAATTACAGCGTCCCTTCTGCTAACAGCGATCAGCACCGTCTAGCCAGCCGGCAAGTTAAACGCTCGTCTCAACAGTCGGTCAGTCAGCCTCAGTGTCAGGTCGCCACAGCTTTGGACTCGTGCCCTGATGGCAGCTCATCTTCTGGAGCGGAAGGAACAGCGTCTCTAAAATATGACATCAGTCACAAAAGAAACATAAAAAAAGCTCACGTTTCTCCTCTCGACCTTTGTAACTCGCTGTAGCCGTTTTCCCCCTAAATCTAACTCAAAAGTAATTAATTCTACCCCTCATTCTTAATTGAATCCTGAAGTGATTGTATTAAAACACCGCCATTTTCTCCATGACAGGTTTAGCTCTGAAATTTCAGTGAGATGGAGTGTGGCAGACTTATAAACGCTTCAGCGTGAGATTAATTGATTAAGACTGTCAAGTTCATTGAAATGATGTACAATATCATAAATTCAGACCATGAAACTGAGGAAACAAGATTTGCTTTTGCTTTCTGTTCTCGGTTTCTAGCAGGCTTTGTCACTTTGCTTTCGCTCTTTCTTTTAGGGTCAAAGGATTTTATGCCCTTTGGCATTTCTTTATCTCACCCGCACAGACTTGCAATCCTTGTTTTATTCCGTTCCGCTCATGTCTGTGTTAAAATTTACTAAAGCAGAGAAAAAGAAAAAGAAAGTGCTGGGAAACGTTGGGAGAGGAGTGATGGAGGGAAGAGAGGTATCTGGTCAGTGCATGAACCAGTAGCCTTCACGTGAACCTGTTCCCTGGTGACTCCTGCTCCTCTCCAGGCCAACTACCTGCTGGTTGAACAGCAGATGGAGGGTGTGTGTGTGTGTGTGTGTGTGTGTGTGTGTGTGTGTGTGTGTGTGTGTGTGTGTGTGTGTGTGTGTGTGTGTGTGTGTGTGTGTGTGTGTGTGTGTGTGTGTGTGTGTGAAAGAGATTGCATCAAAAGGGGGATTTAGTATGCAAGGATAAATCAAGAAAGGTGGGGAAAGGGAGTGAGGGCTCGGAGCTGGACGTAAGGTAAAGACACAAGGGCCTGATGGGGTATCTATCTGTTCAAGCGTGTGTGTGTGTGTGTGTGAGAGAGAGAGAGAGAGAGAGGAGGGGGCTTAACCTCCCTGTGTATCCCTCCTGTCAGCCCCACACACACAGATAAGATCAGACCTGGGCATGACCCGTCACATGCCAACTCCTCAAGTGCTGGCTGACCTCCACTTGTCTGTCTCCAGCTTTCCCTCAGAGCACCTCTTCCTCCACCCTCCAGGTGTTCCTTTGTTCCTTTTCTTTCACTCTTCTCATTGTATCTTTAAAACTCACCTGTTTCACTTCATACCGCTGTCTGTCCTTAAACTACGTGGGTGGAAACTTGACAAAGGAGGCGTAGCGAACTGCTGGATGAATAATTCTGTTATTTTAGACGCACTGAAGCCAACAAAGACAGGACGGAGACAAAAGCTGAGAAGACTAGCTAGACGTAATGGCATATAAAGCTTCAAAAAATGACAAGTTTTCTAGAACGGCATTATTTTTGTTTAAAGTGTCAAAAAATTTAAGAGGTGCTTTGTGAGGGTAGTGAAAGGAGAGAGCCCCTATCAGGTCAAAAATACATTCGGTTGATGTATGACACTCTTTTGTTTTGGCTCTAGGCGCTTTTCAGAATGCACACCAACAAAGGTGTTGACAGAAGGCTGTGTGTAACCGACCTGCCGGTCCCGGGGCTTGTGCAGCTGTGTGAGGCCGGTCCGGTCCTGTGATGAGCGCTGCTGGGGCTCTGAGCTAAAGCTCCCAGGGCGGGCAGGTAAGAGCACACCTGTCAGGAGTCACACAGACACACAAGGTTAGACAGAGCCTTGATGCATCGAGAGGAAGGAGGTGTCCCTGCAGAGCTGGGCGGATGGGAGAACCAGATGTTCTACTGCAACATTAGAGCGTGCACCGTTTAACACGGTTAAAATTTACAAATGAAAGCTGAAAAAAATGTCTCTTTATAGAATAACAATAAATAATACAGCAGGGAAAGGAAACATGGACGACTTCTGTATTAGTTATTCTGGAAAGATCGTGATCTCTAAAAAGTAGCAGGGGTTTCCAAAAGTTGGATTTAAACAGCAAAATGCTAATAAATAAATAAATTAATTAATTAATTAATACATAAATAAATAAAGACAAAGGTTTGCTAACAAATGAACGAATATTTAAACTAAAAACAACCTGAGTCATATCCAGTTACCTACATGTTTAATGCAGATGAAAAAATCTCCCAAATTAAAACTTCCACATGTTGCTGAGGAGTAGTAAATATCATACTGACCGGAGGTGCTGATATTGTTACTGATGAGGCCAGTTTTCCTCATTCACATGCCCGATGTTTAAGTCACATTCCTGACCATGTGTACTGCAGAGCTGCACCAACAGACCTCCTCCGATCCCTTCTAACAAAGCTAGCTAAAAAACAACCAACCTTTGCCACTTAAAGTTTGAACATTCCTGTTTCACAGAAACACACACCTTCAGGAACGTGATAGAATATCTTGTATGTAAACCAGGACATCAAAGTCCCTAATGGCCTGATGGAGGAGGCAGGATCAGGGCTTTGATTTGCAAACTAGTTTGCATGAACCAAAACCGCGCTGCAAGTTAAAAGCTTGCTGCTCCGTACGTCTCTGCTTCAATCGAAACAACTTCAAGGAAATAAGAAGTCCATTAGCTCATTTTTCTGACCTTTACTAGAATCAACATGGATTTAGGTTTCTATTGACCAAACAGTTGGTGTTAACTTACAAAACTGTAAAAGAAGTGTATAAAAAAGATAGACATGAACCATTTTCTTGAGAGAATGCGGCTCATCTCCCACGGTGAACCCATTTCTGCAGCAGAGATTCCTAAATACGGCATCTGCCACCACCAACTTCAGCCTGGAGGAGCGAATGCTGGCAACCAGCTCCACCAAAACAGCTGGAGGTAGATCTACAGGAGAAAGGAGAGAAAAGAAGCGACTTAGTTAAATATCACCTACAAATAAAATGCTTCTAATGTTTTAAGCCTCCTGAATCTGAATATTAATTAAAGGAAAAAAAAGAGGAATTTGACAACAATCTATGGACATACTCTGTGTTTTTGTTGCATACCCTGGCTAACAACTGCGAAATGCTCTGATAGGTCTTTGAGGCCCTTTTCCACCAAGTGCTGATTGAGTCTGAAATGCTGCTGACACCAGAACTCCACCAACACGGACAGCAGATGCAGCATGGTGTCTGCCAAATGCAGCTTCTGCGTCTCCTCCCTCTCAGCCCCGCCCTTCGACGAAGACAAGCAAATTCACAGAAATGAACTAAGAACAGCCATAACACTTAAAAAAATACATAGCTGGTAAATAAAGCGCCTACCATGTTAGCAGCCTGCACTATGAGCTGAGTGAGCTGCTTCACAGATCGAGACAACAATGTGGAGCGTTCCCACACAGTCCAGAAGGTTCCATACAGCAACGAACCAGAAGAAAATGTGGAGGGGGCTTGTGTCGCCTGGTGCCGCACAAAGTCTCTGCTGGAGGGAAAGGTTATCATGTTTCTGATTCTTACTCTGCAGGAAAATCCATTCTTGTAAGTGAACATAAGAATATGTAGGGATGCACGATATATCTGTATCAACATCTGTATCAGTCTGATGGGCACAACTGGAATGCTCAAATGGTCTTGTTCACTGAGAAACAGTGTAGTATTGCCTCAGTTTGAATTAAAATCAGTCACTCTGAGTTTCACATAAATCCATCCATCCATCCAACCATTTTTAGCCGCTTATCCCGAGTCGGGTTGCAGGGACAGCAGCCTAAGCCGAGAAGCCCGCTTCCCTCTCCCCAGCTACTTGGGCCAGCTCCTCCAGGGGAATTCAATGTATTCCCTGGCCAGCCGTGATATAGTCCCTTCAGCGTGTCCTGGGTGCTCCCTTGGGTCTCCTCCCAGTCAGATGTGCCCAGAAAACCTCACCAGGGAGGCGTCCAGGAGGCATCCTGACCAGATGGCCGAGCCACCTCAACTGGCTCCTTTTGATGTGGAGAAGCAGCGGGTCTACTCCGAGCCCCTCAGAGATGACCAAGCTTCTCTCCCGTTCTCTAAGGGAGAGCCCAGCTATCCTACGAAGAAAACTCATTTTGGCTACTTCTCTCTGCGATCTCGTTCTCAGCCTGCCGGCTCAGCGCGCTCTTCACTACGACAGACCTGCGTTTGTGCCACCACACTTGGTAGTAATATAACCACAACGCCAGACTTGTGAATGCATATTACGCCTTGGCACAACAGGGGTAGGTGTCATGATCACGTGGGGAGTTACTGCCAAGCTTCGGCCGGCAACTCTATTTAAAATGAAAGTAAAACAGGCAATAAGTTTCGGTTTTGTTTCCAGAACCAGCTGAGATGATAAAGTGGAGCAATGCAGAGCTCCAGGAGTTTCTCTCCATTAGCGCTGGAGGTCAGATCACCAGAGACTGAGTGACAGCTACCTCTAGGAGCGGCTTAGGGCTGCACAATATATCGCAAATATATTGTTATCGCGATATCAGCATGCGCAATATGCATATCGCAAAGAACAGCTAAATATTGCAATGAATGGTCAACTAAAATGTTTGCTACGCATAATTCATTCTGTCAATCAAACGAAAGCATGACATTTTTTTTGAACAAATCAAATAGAGCTCTTCAGCCATTTGGCCAATTGGGTGGGTTCTCATAGGTTAGATGACCACCCCCCGAGGTGGAAGGAACTTAATTTGGATGGTTAGCCAACACCTGAGTTAGCTTTGTTCTGCTCTTTCTGCTGATTCTGCTTTTCCACTGATCCACTGATTACCTTTTCTTGTTAATTTTCTTTTTCCCTTTCCTCACATCTTTTGCTTCTCTCATTTTTATGATTTTTTGTAATGATTTAATTTCTTTGTTTTTGATTATTTTTGCCCAAGTTAAGTTTTTATTTATCGCAAGTAATATCGCCATCGCAATATTAATCACTGTTATGGCATATTGCAGGTTTTCCTAATATCGTGCAGCCCTAGAGCGGCTTGTCAGAAAAATGTAAGGAGCATGGCTTGGATCGCAATAAAAAGCAAGTTATGTCCAAGTTAAACGGAAGTCAGCGGCAGTGCTGAGACTACCCCCATACCCCCTTTATACCGTAATCTTTTGTAAAAAAGGACACAATTACTGCCACGGTCTGAACAATTCTAAACAACATAAGGCTCCCTGATGCCAGCTCGGTGTTGGGGCAAATTGGCGGCATTGTTTTCTTAGATGCTTTTGACACCTCCTCCTCCTCCAACAAACTTCTACCTCATGAAAAAAGAGCACCAGAGCTTTTTTTTTCCTCATAGAAAATGACTCACAAAGCATTAGTCCATACTAGAGACCACAGCAGATGCAGTGAAAAAAACTAGTGAATGAGACACTTAACGACTGATGTTCATTTCCATCTTGTTGCAGTTTGCATCTGTTTCAGGAATGCTAGGGGGTTGGTTTAAGAGCAAGTCACTCCAAATCAACATTTTTTTGCTGATAAACTATATAAATGAGTGTCTCATCGTGCTGCAGACATGTGTAGTCAATAATTCTGCCTAAAACTGTCAGTGTTGCACCGTCGTCAGGTAAAAACTCTGCACTGCATCTGAATTTAAATCTGCAGTCGCTATTGGCTAAGAGGTATACTATGATGTTAGATGGTACATTATGATGTCACAATGTTGTGAGTGTGTGTATTTGTTAGCGGCTCCACCCTCTCGGTCTGCTAGGCAAACGCATTTGTTGCATTTTTCAAACAGGATGTGGGAGTTGAGTAAGAATCTGGTAGGGGGTGACTTGCTCTTTAAGTGTTATTTGTTCAAGCATGTGATAGTGACACAGCTCAGGATTTTGGGAGTGCTTAGGGAAGCAACGTTGGTGGTGTGATCGCTTTTACACAGTGTTTTCCTCCATAACAGCAGTATAAATAACAGATATGGATCAAAATGATCACATTGATGAATCCCAAAAGTTAATGCTTTAAGAAAAAGATACTGACAGAGTATATTTAAATGTTTACCCGCTGGTGACAGAGTGAAGCTCCCCCTGGAAGAGCTTGAGGCAAAAAGAAAGGATGTCATAATGAAAATCAACCAGAGTCGGTAAGGTTGGTCCGGCCAGCGGGTGGCAGGTGATGTTGCTGGATAGACAGTACCTACAAAGAAAACCATTTTGCTGATCAAGTTTCAAAATGCTTAAACTGCTGATTAAGAGAAACCTTCAGGATATGTCAGATTACCTGATGGCCGTCTCCAGAAAAGGCCACAAGCCTGTCTTACACTGAGGACACTGCAGCACTTGAGCGTAGTATTTCTTCACCGAGTTGGGCGCCAGCCATGGCGGGTTGGTGAGGAGCAGGTTTTCCAAAACTTGGTGGAAGTTCCTCAGGAAGACGGATGTGGCGTTACCCTATACAATGTAAACACAGCAAGAGTTTCAGTTGATTGAAACGATTAGAGCGACTGCAACAATTTCCTGTGCGTGGAGAATTGTTAAAAAGCTTGCTTGAATCCAGCTTCTTTCTATTAAACATGTGCTTCTTTGACTGAAGCAGTGGATGTGTGCATGTGGAGCAAAATGACAGTTACTCTACAAGTCCTAGCTACAAATATTAAAAAATGTTGTGAAACCAGTGATCCACTTGCACCCCCCCGGGCTCATGCAGCAGCAGCAGGTGGGAATTTATACAGCCTGGTAATTCTAGTCTTACCTGCTGTGCGTATTGTAAGAGCGAGATCAGGTACGTCGCTGGTGGCAACAGACCAGGGAACGCCGAGCTTCTGATAGAGTCTAAGGCTTCAACGAAGAGGCCACACTCTATCATGGTACCGACGTTGCTGAAGTCTGCTAGTATCGCCTGGAGGAATAACAGAACAATGGTGAAATTAAGGGGGAGAGGAGGATATGGAAAGGAGGAAGAAACGTGGCACTCAACCAGACAGATGGTAGTAGGAAAAGGGGGCAGAAGGGTAATGGAAATAAGTAGCGAATGGGCATCAAAAGTTCCTGGGGGTCATTTCTGACCGTCGCTTATTGGCAAATAGCATACGGAGCGAGAAAGTCCTGAATGGAAATACAAGAGCACTTCTAATATCAATCTGACAGACGTCCACTTGGGTAAAGTACGGACAGGACGGTGGAGAGTATTGTTAATAGGTCTGCCAATCAAAGCTCTCAGAGGTGGTAAAATCGGTGACCTGGTTTTGATGCGCCCTTGCTCTTGGTGTCACTTTCCATTGAAATGTATGACATAAAGAAAATTGAATGACCTGATCTGCTTGATGAAACACAGAGTTATCTTGTAGATGTATGTATAGCGGTGATCGTGGATGGGGGTGGATACGTGCGTGAGTCTACCTGTGAGTGAGGATGATGAGGGTCGTGGTAACCTAGAAACTGAAGGAAGCGCAGTCTCGGCTGGCCCTAGGAGAGAAAATACACGTCAGCGATGTCGGGAACGAAACCAACAAACAGGAATCTTTAAGAAGGCAAAGAAACACACCTCCTTCTCAATAACAACACTCTTGAGCTCTGCCTCCAAATTAGAATAATCCTCGTCAAGATAACTGTCTTTCTCAGCCAGGTGATCTTGGATGTTGAATTTCATGTCCACACAGTTGCTCTGCCCAAATGAGAAAGGCAGATAGTTTTTCAGCATTATAACACCTTCCTCTTAGGTCGAGGTCCTCGCTACGAGGTAAAAAATCTTAGAATTTGGACGTTTTCAAAAGGTCTCGGCAAGGTCTTTAGTAAAACTGCACAACTTAGGTCTTCTAAAAGACTTTCATGGGGAAGTTTGCAACGTTTAAAACACTTCTAAGAACAACTTGTCTGTGTTGTTACCAACAGTGACAAAATATACAATTACAGGGGAAAAAAATGGATTAACTTACCCCAAAAAGGTGCTGGACTATGTGGCTCACGGGGTAGCAGGGAGCATCTTGGGATTTTGATGACTCTGTTACAGGTTTTGCCATGACATGAGTAATGCTGGTGAAGGTCGGAGGAGGACTGTTGTAAACTTCGGCTCTACCAGCTTTCAGCAGCCTGAGTGAGAGGTAGAAAAAGGCAGATTTGTGATTTTTTTACAGCTTTATTCATGTACAGATGTTTACAGTAAACCTCTGTCTGACCGTTTGAACATGTCTCTCCTGGTGGGCTCTTGAACCATGAGGAGAACTCGCCAGCCCTGGAAAGCTCCGGTTATCCTGCTGTTGGTCACCTTCTCCCTCCATTGGCGGACGGGGTAAAAGGCAGCTGAGGACCTTGTGAAAATGGCCACTTCATACGATCTCTCGTCCAACCAGGAGCCGTTTTTAACACTGTCCAGGACATATTTCGGAGTCACGACCCACTTTCCTGGGAACAGAGACACAGCAGCAGATTTTGGATGACTCACGACAGTTGACAGTCATATTTAGAATGTTTATTCAATCTAAATAAATTAAAATAATGATCATTTTCCTCATTTTCACAATTAAAAAGACTGACCTGCTGCACAAAATGCCAAAAACTTCTCACCAGGCAAAACCTGGGGGATGATGAGGTGGGTGCTGTAGTGCTTATATACCTGTAATATAACCATTTCATCCATTTAGAGACATGTTACAGAAGAAAAATAGGTTACAGAAAGATCCAGTAAACTTGTGCTCAAAAAGGCAAAGCATATCTACAACTTTATTTTTTATATAATGAACAACTCCATTAGGTATTAATATTTATTATTATAACCTTTCACTTTTAAGATTCTTAATTCAATTTCTCAGAACTTTACAAAAATCATTAATTATTTACATTTGTAGTTGATTTTATTATTATCATTACCTTCCACTTTGAACTGACTGCAACTCTATTTCTCCACTTTTTAAATAAAGTTAATGTAATTTATATCTCTCTATCAATTCATCCATTTAAATCCGCTTATCCGAGCCGGGTCGTAGGGTCAGCAGCCTAAGCAGAGAAGTCCAGACTTCCCTCTCCCCAGCCACCTGGGTCAGCTCCTCTAGGGGAATCCCAAAGCGTTCCCTGGCCAGCCAAGAGACTTGTGGGCCATTCCCATCTGTACCGGGTCGGCCCGGGCCGGGTAGCCCCAGTCGGCCTTAGCCTGGCCCGGTTGATTCCACACATCCTTGCCTTAAGCCCATGTGGGCTGATTCTACCCACCAATCAGAGGCTTGCTCTAATGGAAGGTGTGAATTTGCTGTCAGCAGTGGGTGTGTTGGTCCTGGTCGGCCTGAAGCAGACCCCCTCGAGAAGAGGGCTGAGAATGAGCCTTGGTTGGCCCGGAAAAATACCAGGCCACCAAGATATGTAAACAACCTACGCTACCCGGCCCGGACCGACCCGGTACAGATGGGAATGGCCCAATAGTCCCTCCTGCATGTCCTGGGTCTTCCTTTAGTAGGGATGTCTTGATACAACATTTTTACTTCCAAAACGATACTGATATTGCAGCCTTCAACATTGACCGATACCGATATCAGTCCAATACAATATCAGCACAAATCATACATACTTTTCCCTATTTTGTAGAGTGGAGTGTATGAAAGGCTTGATCAGGTGCCATTACTCAGAGAACAAAAGCCAGCAGCAGTAAGTATGAAAAACCGATGCGAAAATCCTCATACAGTGTTTTATGATGCTGCTTGAAATGTGCAATGACGTATTACTCTTCCCCGGTTCTGTTCCACCACAGGAAACTTGAGCATGACAAGTGTTGCACTGACCCACACTGACAAATACTGCCACATGGCCGACATTGCTCTTGTTCCTTGCTACGTCGCTAGCATGCACTTAGTACTTCTGATCATGTGGGCTTTGCATGCTGGATAGAATTGCTGGAATGAAATTTAAAGCAGAACGAATTGATTGTCAAAGATTTTTGATGCAGTCCGATATAATCCAACACGGGTATTTTGGGCTGATATCAGACCTATTTCCGATTTCAGTATCAGACATCCCTATCCTTTAGGTCTCCTCCTAGTTGGATGTGCCTAAAAAAACTCACCAGGGAGGCGTCCAGGAGACATTCCCCTAACCAGATGCTCGAGCCATCATAACTGGGCTACCCTCGATGTGGAGAAGCTGTTTTGGTGTCTATAACTGTATCTACGTTCCTCTTTCAGTCACTGCTGTTGTTTTACCTGCCTGTTAAATCTAGCCTGCTGTTAAGCACTTTGCACAACACCAAACTGTATGAAAAGTTTTTTTATGGATAATGTTCAATAGACTGTGTATATTAAATACAGCATATTTCATAGTGAACAACATTTGAAACTTTAGAAAAAGGCAGATATCCAACCAGCTATTGAAGCTCTGTGAGAAGAAATTCCAACATTATTATTTCTTTAAATTATAATAAATCCAGTTAACACTTTTGTAGTGCACCATAATGCTTTTGAACCTCACGTGAACTGCAAGCGGAAAAATAATTAGCCAGTGGTAACGCCTTCAGCGCCTATCAGGAAAACAAATACTGAGCACCAAATATGTCTGCTTGAGAAAGTCGTTTATCAGCAGCTGGTCTCACATTTAGCTGACTCAGTTCTGTTTGAGGTTTTCCAATCAGGGTTCAGGTCTGGCCATAGCACAGAGTCAGCTCTACTGAGGGTTTTAAATGATATATATCTATCACTAGATCAGGGTACATCTGTGGTGCTTCTGTTGTTAGACCTGACGGCAGCCTTCGACACAGTTGACCACGCAATTCTACTCGATTGCTTGGAACGATGGGTTGGGATCAAAGGGTCTGCTCTGGATTGGTTTAGATCGTATCTCCACAACAGGACATTCTGTGTTAAACTGGGTGATGTTTTTTTCTTCTTGGGAGGGGCTCCGCTGGGGGGTCCCGCAGGGATCAATCCTTGGTCCTCTTTTGTTTACCATTTATCTGCTTCCTCTGGGGTCAATCATTCGTAAACATGGCCTATCATTGCAGCTCTATGCTGACGATTGCCAGATTTACTCTCCATTGTGCCAGGAGAAAGGACACGCCATCCAGTCTTTTGTGTCCTGTCTTAACGAGGTGAAGTCTTTGCTAATGGCCAACTATCTGCATCTGAATGAGGGAAAGACAGAGCTTATTGTTTTTCACCCCAACAGCAGGAATGTGGGTCATTATGTTGATCTTGGCCCTCTTTCTCCCTACTCAAAACCAGTTGTCACCAGTTTGGGGGTGAAAGTTGATGCTGGACTTAAATTTGATGCTCACATCAATTCTGTGATCCGGTCCAGTTTCTTTCACCTGAGACGCCTTGCAAAAATCAAGCCAATGCTGTCAAGAGCCCACCTGGAGCGGGTACTGCATGCATTTGTAATTTCTAGGCTTGATTACTGCAACTCTCTCTATGCAGGGTTGTGTCAGTCATCACTGCGTCGCCTACAGGTTGTGCAGAACAGCGCAGCCAGGTTCCTGACTGGGACCAGGAAACAGGACCACATCAGTCCGGTTCTGGCCTCCCTGCACTGGCTTCCGGTTTGTTATCGTTCACACTTCAAACTCCTCGTCTTTGTCTACAATTTCTTCCAGAGTAATGCTCCCCCCCTATCTAGCCACACTCCTGAACAGATATTACCCATCACGCGCTCTGCGCTCCTCTGACCAAGGCCTGCTCACTGTCCCTCGTTCGAGGTGTCATACTCGCGGGGACCGGGCATTCTCAGTCCTAGCACCGTCACTCTGGAACCAGTTGCCACCCTCAGTTAGGCTGTCCCCATCTCTGCCAGTCTTTAAGAGTCGCCTAAAACCCCACCTCCTCCGCTTGGCGTTTCCTGAACGTGTTTGAATTTGGCCATCTTTAATGTTGATTTTATTTCCCTGTTTTCATTGGTTAACTCTATCCCTTGTTTTACCCATTTGTCTTCTACTAGAATGTTTTACCTTTTTTTGTAATTTGAACTGCTTTTATTTTCGATTTATTCACCATATTTAACTTTGTCATGTACTATGTTCAGCGCCTTGGGCTACCCGACAGGGTTGCGGAAGGCGCTATATAAATAAAGCTTTGATTGATTGATGTTATTAAATTAAAGCTATAGATTCATCATTTTCTGCAGAAAGGTGTGTCATGGGAACTGTTAAGAGACTTCAGTAGATACACAGCCACCATGTTGTTTTTTTTATGCAAAAACACTGATTAAGAGCAAGAGTCACATTTTAATTTAGTTACTTAACCAACAGATTGCAAACTGTCTCCAGTGACAGAAACTAAGAAGCTATTGGTGTATAAAAATCAACTTTTACAACATTCGTCACTGCTTTGTTTCCAGTGCATCTGACATTTCCCCCAAAAATCTACAGTAATCTCGACTCACCGAACCACCGATGTATTTCCCACCTAGCTGGTTGATCCCTTTGAGCAAAATTCTCTTCTTTTCATAATTTTTGATCCCAGAGATCTGAAAAATGTGTCTGCAGCCCTCCATCACAAAGGTGCGCTAAAACAGAGGATAGAATTAGGTTAAAGTGAAAAAGATCAAGTTACAGATTAAGTAGGCTATTAACTTCCTTAAAATTGTGATGCAGTAATTCTTGTTTGACAGGATGACTTAAGACTGTCTTTTATTATCAGTTGACTGAGCTGAACTCTTGGTTTGATAATACATTGAGGATTCCAACTTTCATTTATAAGATCATATTTATTCAGAAGATATGTAATATAATCACCCCATATGCCACAAACTATTACAATACAGGAGAAATTAACCGTTTGGTTGATTTTATATAGATTTTTTTTTTCTAATGAAAACAAGCAAACCCAGCTGGCAGCACAGATCCTCCCCCCCCCCCCCCCCCCCCCCCCCCCCCGTTACTGTCAACAAGCTGTTGCTGCAGTAGGTAGGTGTGACTGAGCCATGTACTGGAACTCACACATTGTGATTTGCCTTGGACTTCAATAAACATGAACTATTTTGATTATCAAATGACTGGTAAGGTGCACTGTAGTTGCTGAGATACTTTCAAAATAAATATTGCATAGCAGTGCACTATTTAGTTATATGTGGCCACAACTGATTCGTGCTTAGAAACACGTGTTATCCTAATACTTTCCTGTTGTGTATCTCAACAAATACTAAAGATCTCAATTTGTAAACAGAAAATACTCCACTTAGCAACTGCTTAGCTGTGTCATAACGTGTTGATGCTACTTCCATATCTTTGTGTGCTTTTTAGTTCGAATATTTCCCGTTTAGAAGCAAAAATCCCACTGATTTAGTGATCAGGTACCTTTTATGCCGAAGACGACTCCCATTTACATCCAGGCGCGCCAAAAAACACGTCAGCGAATGTCATCAATACAAGAAAAAGAAAGCTTGCATCGGTGTTTGGTTTCATATCTCCGCTTTTGACTTAATATATATGCTCAACTTTACCAACGAATGCACACTAAGGCATGTCCTGTTATTGTAAATAAAATGCAGATTTCCGTTTAAAGCTGTCCGTATGAAAACAGCTCCAGGATTCTACTATCTAATATGAAAAAAGGTGATTTGATCGACTATCAACCTGCGTTTTGTAGCTTTTAGGTAAATAAGTAGTCTAATATTTAAAAAATTGCACTTAAACATACTAAGGCAAAGATTTTTAAAAATATTTACTTTCGTATTGATTAAATTAATGTTTAATTTAGTCCATTCGGAATCATTTCTCCCCATTTTCTTTGCTCTGGTACAATCCAACAACCGGAACTAGTGCAACTACTTCCGGGTGGTTGTTACGGACGCTTTCTAGCTACGGAACAAACAAAAACACTGTACTCTGGCTGTATAACGGGTATATTTACTCAGCCTAATCGTAAAATTAATTATTTTTTTCCCCCAGAAACGACTAAAGCTGACAGAACGCGGTTGTTTGTTTCCCAGTGAAGAGTCCCATTTAATGACAACGAGATTTACGCGTCACAGTGATGAATATGTTCATTTTATCATTTTATTTTACAAACTACTGATGAAGATCAACAAAGACATGCTGGAACTGACGATAGCCTAATTTTCTCTGGGTGTTTAAATGGATTAACACGGAATGGATTAGCAGGGAACTCGTGAAAGGTAAAACAATGCATTAGGTTTTGTTTTGACTGTTCTTCCACACACACCGCGTCATGTTTAAGTATCAGATGTATCAGAAATTTGCTACAGTTTGTGAATGAAGCAGACATGTTAGAATTACATGAGTAATTTCTTGGGCTCTTTAAATCAGAGTGCTGGCCACATTTGTGTTCATTAATCAACTTGTATTAATAAAAAGTGTTTTTCATATTCACTTGTAAATTCATTTTATACTACTAATTAAATGCTGTTTTACTTAGGCTCTTTTTAAAAATTGCAACCTTTTAATACTTTTCCGATAATTTTGTGTTGGCTTATCACGTTTGTCAGGGTCCCTGAAAATCAAGTTGAAATAAGCAATCAACTTTCTCATTGGCATTCTTGGGGTGGGTGGATGGATGGATGAATAAATGGATAGATAGATCTGGGAAAAAGACCATAACTATGTTATAGAGGATGGCTAGCTTCATTAATAAATGCCAGCTGCTTTTTTAGAATCTTCCTCTCTGCAACCACCACAACAGACTCTACCTCTAACCATGGAGCCAGCACATGTGATCAGTCTCTCCTTTGTTTTTTATATCTCTCTCTTTGGTGCTTTAGAAATTAGATGGTGAAATTCTAGGATTTAAAAAGCCTGACAGATCTACTTCACACTGTCACTTAACATTCATGGACTCACCCATCTTGACCCATCTAGGCTGTTTTTGTTTTAGCATCCAGCAAACAGCAGAAAATGTCTCGACTAGTGCATTAGCAACTCCACCGCTCAGCAGAATTTATTCAGGCTTGTGCTGTTTGTGGAGATAACACATCCATGTCACAGAGCAAACGGAGTCAGTGGTAGAGTCGCTTTGCTGTTATCCAATCTGAGGCAAGATGCCCAAATATCAGGAAGTAAGACTCCAAATCCTACCGTGTTAATCTCTCCTCTTATGTGGCATTCTGCTAGTTCCTGAAACAAATGCATCTCAAAATAAAAATGCATTAAATAGTTATTTTTGCATTTTTTATCAATGCCAGCGCTTCCCTCTCTCCAGCCACTTGGGCCAGCTCTTCCGGGGGAATCCCATAATTCCCTGGCCAACCGAGAAACATAGTCCCTTCAGCGTGTCTTGGGTTATCCTTAGTTTTCCTCCCAGTTGGACGTGCCCAGAATACCTCACCAGGGAGGTGTCCAGGAAGCATCTTAATCAGATGCCTGAGCCACCTCAACTGGCTCCTCTTCTTGTGGAGGAGCAGCTGATCTACTTCGAGCCCCTCCCGGATGACCGAGCTTCTCTCCCTATCTCTAAGGGAGAGCCCATGCAGCCACCCTGTAGAGAAAACTCATTTTGGCTGCTTTTATCTGTAATCTCGTTCTTTCGGTCGCTACCCAAAGCTCATGACCATAGGTGAGGGTAGGATTGTAGATCGACTGGTAAATCAAGAGCTACGCCTTCCAGCTCAGCTCTCTCTGCATGACAGACCAGTACAACACCAGCATCACTGCAGATGCAGCACCAATCTGCCTGCCGATGTTGCTCTCCATCTTTCCCTCACTCATGAACAAGACCCCGAGATACTTCGTGCTTGACCTGGAGAAGTCATTCTACCCTTTTCTGACTCCAGACCATGGTCTCAGCCAAGTGCTGAGGAGAGGGAAGTCTGGGCCCCTCTGTTTAGGCTGCTGCTCCCACAACCCGACTCCAGATAAGCATACGAAAATTAATGGATGGATGGATCATTGCCATTGGTTTATTGAACATACACTCCGTGTAGATAGTTGAACTGTTTCAATTCTAATGTATACACATGTTTTATTTTGATGTAGTCTCAGTTAATCACGTCTGCATTTGTTACAGCAATCCAGGCTTGTTTCAGCTCAATGAATCAACAGTTTCATGCAAGATATTTAAAAAAAAATGATATTGCTAAGAAAATAATGACCAGCAGCATGTTGTGAATTTCTGCACACGGACATCAACACCGGGAGAAACATCAATCAATCAATCAAATTTATTTATAAAGCGCTTTTCAAACAAAGTGCTACTCAAATTGCTTTACAAAATGACCCCAGATTCCCATAACAGGTTAAAAACATTAACAGACATATGCAAGCACACGCACACACACACACACACACACACACACACACAGACTCACACACACACACACACACACACACACACACACACACGCACGCACGCACGCACGCACACACACGCACACACACACACACACACACACACACACACAAGTAAAAATTATATCCTAAATCTTCCACCTGACATGATCAAGAAGAAAATCTGTTAATGAGAATGTGAAGTAGCTAGGCAGCTTGGTAGAACAGCAGTAGTGAATCCCAGCCCTTAATTCCCTGGGGAACACATGAGATAGTTTTCAGCACTGTTTTGATCATAGGAAATGCACCTGTTTAATTTAGGATGTTTTTGTAACAGGGCTGTTAAGGTACTCCCTTTAAAATAATGTTGACTTTAGCTTGACACGCTCTAAGTGGTTTTAAAGCTGCAGCCTGGGGGATATTCTGCTAAATATTTCAGGACAAACTCATTACTGTAAATGGGGCTCTGTGTTAGCCTAGCTGGGGAAGACAGGCAGCAGCAAGAGAGATAATGCAATGATGTGTGTGTATGTGTTTCTGCAAAGCTGGGTTTCTCCTGCTCTAAAAGTGGTGCGGCTGATGTCTTTGGCAGGCAGCGCCTCAGTGCCTGGCCCAGTTGTCCCTGTTGCAAGTCTTTGAAACACGCAGGGGCTCGTCTAACATCTGCTTTCTAAAGAGCTAATGACAAGACAATGGAGACTAGATGATTTAAAGTACTGCACTAATGAGGCCCCGTGTGCTTTCTGGTGAATCCTAACCCCCGTGCACTCACATACACACACTCATGCTTTAGGATAAGTTGGCAGATCAGGATGTAGACACCGAACAGACGTGTAAATGTGGACATGCAAACCCTCTGTCCATCTGTCTGCGAGTCCCTTTTAACCCTAAAGATCCATGTGATGTTCTGGACACTGCTGAAACACACACACACACACACACACACACACACACACACACACACACACACACACACACACACACACACACACACACACACACACACACACACACACACACACACACACACACATCTCAGTTCACATAATAATAATGGTGACTTCCTTATCTGCAGGCTGAGAAATCGTCCTCCCGTTAGCGGTAAGACGGTGCTTAGACCCCCTTCTCAGACAGTAGCGCAGGGGGAGCATGATGACGAGGGTAAGTGCTAAGAGAGAGAAGAAGAGAAGGAAAAATAATAAAGGACAAGCTTAACTGCTGAGGCTGTCAGCAGAGGAAAATATTTGTCCAGCTGGACAGGCCTCCCTTTGTGCAGACTAAATGAATGTTGAGCTTCCTGTCTACCCTGTCAGGGAGAGTGGCGTCGACTGTATGCTGCTGCAGAAGAAGCAGAGCTGCGTGCAGGGAGCTGTTTGGAGTTTGACAAGGATTATTAAAATCAGAGCAGATGACGAGGAAGGAGCGAGAGGCAGAGTGTGAGAAAGCCAAATTGACATAGACACTCTCCATTACCTTCCACTTGACTCACTGATGACAATGTTGATATGAGACCCAGCAGTGCGGCACCAACATGGGATTGGTTGTTAGCATGAGCGTTAAGCACCATGGGGGTAGGAGGGGAGGACCTCAGATCTGGAAGAGACCTATGGAGATGAGTTGTTTATTTAAAGTCTTGACTGAATCATCTCACTTTGTTGGTTATTTGTTTTGAGATGACTTTTTTCTCCTTTCCCTGCAACTTTCCCTTGTCAGAATGAAGAGTTGGGGAGAGACAGAGTCCATGCATTTTGATCAAGGGTGCTCTTAGTGCAAATTATTATGTGAGGAAATTAAACATGGGAGGGGTACTGGAACAAAGCTTTTTGTAGATGATGAGTTGTTTTGTTTCAGGTGCTCCAGGTGAATTGATTTGTGCCTTCTAATAAACTTGCTGAATGAGAAAATACCACATGGGTGCAGCTGTCATCTGTACAAAGTGTGTGTGTTCCTTGACAGACAGCTGTGATGATGATACACTCTTGATCTGAGGGATTTCAATACATTAGTGCAATCCTGACACTGGTGATGGTTTTGACACTATTTACTTCACGGCGATGATTTGGGCTCTTTTGCAGGGCATCATGGAGTGGCCTGGAGATTTTCCTGAAGACCATGCCTTTGTGGAGCTTGTGGTTCCAGGAGGTTCGAGTGATTTGGATTTCGAACAATTTCTCAAAGACACAGATGAGAAACCCAGTCTCAGTGCCATCAGGTCAGTCGCAGAAGGAAAGGGACATGCCTCGGACGACATATTGATGTTTATAACTTTTAGTAAATAAAGTTAAACATTGTGAAACACTGTAATGTGGGTTTAACCAAATAATTATGAGCTGTTTGTCTTTGAGGCATCATTTGTTTCTTTTATGGATGAAACTACAGGAAATATAGAGCTTTATTATTTAGAATTGTGCAAAATTCACATTTTGCATTCTTTTGTGTTATCACGTGGGTCTCTACTGCCTCTATAAACACCCCAAACATGAAAACACCCTGTCCATTAGTTTTCTGACAGTATTTGGTTTTGGAAATGATGTGCCTCAAACAAGTCATTTCAAAAAGTCCCCGTTTGTTATGTCACAAATGGGGAAAGTAGAGTACAACCACGTCTCACGTGCAAGAGAGAGCTCCGAGCCCTTTCTGGATATCGAGGTTCTTAGCTTATAGCAGCCTGAGCCACTTTTTTTCTTAAAGGGACAGAGCCCTGAAACGACTCATTCTGTAAGGTGCTGAACGTGTCAAGGATAAAATTGCTTTATGTGAAAGGGATTTAGTGCAAAGAATTTCATGGATCTACCTTGAAACCATTATAACTTAAGAAAAAAGTCATAATATGTCCTCTGTCATACGCGCCGGTGGACGAAGCGGAGACAAGGTGAGGATCCAACGCGGGTGGAACAAACAGGCAGGCAAGTGGGAACGATTAACACAGGTTTATTAAGCACGCTGACACTGGAACAATGAACCGACACAAGACACAGAACAGAAGGGGTTTAAATACAGGAGGACCGGGAGTTAAGGTGATTGGGAAAACGAGAGGCAGGTGGGAGTAATAAACGAGACAAAGCTGAACCAAACAGGGAGACAGGACAGGGTGTGACATCCTCTTTAAAAACCATCAGAGATCCCAAATAGTTTTGTGGCTGAGAAATTAATTAAAATAAACAATTTGTCACTGATACGATTCAGTATCAGCTGCATATTGGTAACCCAAGTCAAAATGCTGCGAAACCCAAATTTGGCGACTTAAAACATGCATTCTACATGTTTGCTTTTCTTAAACTTTCTAATTTTTCATGTTTGAAATTCTTTCATTTAATCATCTTACAGATTTCAGTGATGCACATTACTCATTTCTAGTTTGACCAAGATGGCTGTTGTCTAGCATGTTTTAATTGTTTCTCTGCTCAAACACCTGATTTTAATCAGCAGGTGATTCACAGCCTTCTGCACAGCCTCATGAGCTGCAGAACAGATGATTCAACTATTGAATCAGAAGTGTAAATAAATGAGCAGAAAGGGAAAAATGGATCTTGTTGCTTGTTGACTTTAAACCAACCACTGTTCTGCAGCTTGTTCTCTTCTGGTCCTGCTGGACCTAACTGCAGCCTTTGACACTGTTGACCATCACCTGCTACTGGATATGCTGAGAGACTGGGTAGGCCTATCAGGATCTGCTCTGGAGTGGTTCTCCTCAATCTGTCTGTGTTCCTTCTCTGTGGCTGTCTCCAAGTTTCGGTCCTCCACCACCTCCCTCACCCATGGTGTCCCACAAGGTTTTATTGCAGGGACCTCTACTCTTCCTCCGTTATCTGCTTCTTCTTCAGCACATCCTGAGCTCCTTTAAAGGATCTCCAACTAGAGTCCTGCACGGGCCTAAAATCTGAGCCCGTGTCCGGCCCGGCCCGAGGGGGTGGAGCCCCAGCCCGACCTGGCCCGAAAAGGTTTTCAGGATTCTCTGGCCCGGCCCGAGTCTGAGCCCGACTTTTTTTTAACCAACTAAATGAAAACAAAGTGCGTCAATCCTGACCAGTGTGTTAAAAGACGTGCAGGATCCGATCAATTTGTTTTTCCCTCGTTTACTGTCACGGAGATAACGGCGCACAGGCTCTGGTGTTAATCAAGTTAAATTTGATCTCTTTCAAACAATTTTCACAAGAAAACAAAACAGTCAAAAGCAGGGCTTGTGTTGACTGGATAGTTCCCGTATTTGACGGTTTATTTTGACGGAGAAAGAATAGATAGAATCACCCCGACGCATGCAGACGAACTGACATTTTATTCGTTACACGCATCGCAGATGTAGCTAAAAGATTCCCATCTGAACATCTGAGCTGCTCAGCGCAGCTCGCTGTCAGCGCATATTTGCACAGCGAGGCGAGCTGAAGTTGTGGAGATTGGCTTGGAGCGCGTTGCAGAACCAGAGCGCATGCGGGAAGGTTCCTCCCACTGAAGCGAGTGTTTTCCAAACCCTGTCTCTCAGAGAGACTTGTCACTTAGAAAATGTTCCCTGATTATGAAACTTTGGCTGAATAGCGCTTGTTCCTGTCTCCAATTTGGCGACGCATCCATGAGCCGTCTGAGGAGAAGCCCAGAATCTGACATATTCAGCTCAGAAAGTGCCGATATGATTACGCACAAGCGTGACCCGTCAACCCAGTCTCACAGTAAGACTGGGTTGGGCCTGTTCAGGTTTACTCAGACAATCTTTACATAGAATTGACTTACAGATATAAAATCAATTCAGTAAAATATAAAGCATTTTATTTAAATATCCATTCATTATTTTACAAGCACAGAGAGCCGCATCAGATGGATGGAAGAGCCGCGGGTTGTGACATGTTTTCTCCAGGACCAGAGAGGATGCAAACTCAATACATCTCTTTTATTGTGAGGTAATAATTTCTCAGAGTTTTGCGGTTGCGGGCGGGAGTAGACATGCACGCTGCAGGTGCTGGCGGGAGTGTAACACACACGTTGCAGTTGCAGGCGGTAATGGTCAGAAATTCAGCGGGAGCGGGATGAAGAAAACAGTCCCGCGCAGGGCTCTACTGCTGCGTTTGTGTTTCAATTTTTTAAATGAATTCGATTACAAATAAAGGCGCCCGGCCCGGCCCGTGTCCAAGGTAACTGCACAGTCGTTGGCCCGAAGCCCGGCCCGAGGGCCTAGGGCTTCAGTGCAGGGCTCTATCTCCAACCATCTTTATGCAGATGAAATCCAACTGTACATCTCCTTTAAGCCCCATGAGATGTCTAAGCTGCAGCTGTTACACACCTGCTTAGACTCAAAGCTGGATGGCTGGGAGCTTTCTACAGCTGAATGAAGATGAGACTGAGATCGTCATCTGTGCCCACAAGCTGGTTCCCAAAGTCAGAGATTCTCTAGGTCAGTTTTCCTGTCACCCCAAACCCTATGTCAGGAAGCTTGGTGTGACCTTTGACCCAGCTCTCACCCTGGATTCTCATGTCAGTTCTCTTGTTCGCTCTTCCTTCTTCCATCTCAGGATCATTGCTAAGCTGAGTCCCATTCTGTCCTGCTCTGAACTTGAGACAGTTATCTACACCTTCATCTCCTCACACTTAGACTACTGTAACTCTCTTTTCACGTGTCTGAGCAGAACCTCCCTGAACCGTCTACAGGTGGTTCAGAATGCCTGTGCTCGGCCTCTGACCAAGTCCTCCAAACACACCCACATCACCCCGCTTCTCCTCCGGCTTCACTGGCTGCCAGTCAACTTCAGGGTTCATTTTAGGATCCTGGTTCTGGTCTATAGGGCCTTACATGGACAAGCACCATCTTACATTGGTGATCTTCTCAATCCCTACACCCCCAGCAGGTCCCTGAGGTCCGGTGACCAAAGCCTACTGGTTGTGCAGCGCACCAGGCTAAAGACCAAAGGTGACAGATCATTTGCTGCTGTGGCCCCCAGACTCAGGAACTCTCTCCCCCTGAGCCTGAAATCAGTGGACTCAGTGGTCTCCTTTAAAATGCAGCTGAAAACTCACCTGTTCAAGCTGGCTTTTGCGTGACCTTCATCACCACCCTCTCCTTATCCTGCTCTTTCCTATTCTGCCTTTCCCGAGATCCACTGATTAACCTCTTTTCTATTCATTTTCTCTCTCCTTTTCCTTACATTTTATAATTACTATTTTAAATAAATTTGCCAAGGTAAACAATTTTTTTAATAACTTAAAAAATCTTTTTTGTATTTTAACTTTTTGTTCTTGTGAATCGCCTTGTGATTTTTATCTTGAGAGGCTCTCTCTCTCTCTCTCTCTCTCTCTCTCTCTCTCTCTCTCTCTCTCTCTCTCTATATATATATATATATATATATATATATATATATACTGTATATCTTTCTTTCTTTCTTTCTTTCTTTCTTTCTTTCTTTCTTTCTTTCTTTCTTTCTTTCTTTCTTGCTTGCTTGTGATCTTCATTTCACCGAAATTCTTACTTGCATTCAAATATAAGTCACCTCTGCTGACTCGGGGTTGCTAAGAGAATTAGTTTTAATTAGCTTCAAGGTTGGGACATTTGGTTGAACTGACCTATATTCATCTTAAACCTTGTCTTCTAATGCTTCTAAGATCAAGGCAAATACTCTCGGAACTCAGTTTTATTCGATTTTATTCACTTTTCCCATCATGTGTAATGGTAGAAAGCAGTTTTTTGTGTATGTGAGACATATACATCTGTCTTTGCAGATAGATGCATATAATATAAGAGTACGAATAGATTGGTAAAGCAGTGAGATGGGCACACACACACACACACACACACACACACACACACACACACACACACACACACACACACACACACACACACACACACACACACACACACACACACACACACACACACACAAATCTACATTTCAGATGTTTATTGTTTGTAGCGTTGTGAGGCTGAGGGCAGATGTTGAAGGACAGGCTAAATGTAGCAAATGAACAAAGCCTCACTTTGGCACCATTAATGTCTGAGACTCATCCCTTCTTCACTCTCTCTCTCGCTATCTCTCTTTCTTGCTATCTCCCTCCCCCTTTCCTTTTTTCTTTCTTTCCTCCTTCTAAATGGGAACATAGTAATTGAAGATTCCACATCTTGAAACGAAAACCCTTGGGAAGGTAATTCAAGGCTTATTACCGAAGGCCAGGCCATTTTTCTGCTTTCTAAGCATTAAAGGGTTATTTTGTGTTCCTGCAGATGGGCGG